ACTCCAATGATCATAGTCTCCATCAAATTTAGGAATGCACACATGTGCAAAGCTGCTATTCTCACTCATTTTCACACACTGCTGCAGATTTCTCTTAGCTGGAAATCTTCACTCACCAACCCTGGAAGCTAGTTCTCACCAATACTCTCGTGTTTCCCAATTCCCTCCCTGCAATCAGACTTGCAGAGTTCTCTCAATTGCTTGTTTGCTTGGTTACAGTTTGCCAAGGCTCTGATACCACAATGTGAGCTTTAGAAAGGAAACTGACACTTTTATTGATGATGATAATGAACGTTAAATACATAAACTCCAGCCCTGAAAATCAGCCACTGCTAACAACCACATTTTAATGATCTGTGGTTCCTTGATTCCAGCTAACTCTTCTAACAACTTCTTCCTATAACACTGCAAACTTGGTTGCAAAGCAACCTGACTCGACACTGAGATTTAACTGAACAATAACATAAACATAGGGACCAACCTGACACTAAATCAAAATGACACAGCAGCAACTTTAACCAAAAACTACACAGCTGTTGCTTTTATTTCCAACGGCTACTTGCTTTGATCTTCAGCTCAACCCAGATTCAAACTTTGCCAACAATTTTCACTCAAGTTTGTCATCTTATCAATTTATCCTTCTAAACCCCATCTATTATGCATGAATTGTTTGGTCAACGTGATTTAACAGAACATGTGTATTGCACTGTTCATGACGAAGTTATAGGGGATCGAATAGCAGTTTTCTTACTCAGCACATTGAATATTTATCCCAACACCCAGTTTCACCAAAGCTCTTTAATATTTGCATTATATAAATGTTCATGTGTAACACCGCATGGTGTCTTATCTCCATTGCTGGCTAAGTTGAGTTGTTTCGGTAATCCAGTTCTTAACATAATATCTTGTCCATATATATGACTCTCCGTTCCAAGTGAAAGTGCTTCATGTACCACATAATGAAGGTTGCGCCATCGTTTAAAATTTAAGTATCTTCTTCCAAATCTATATACCAACTGATGTATCTTTTGTTGGTGCACAACGAAAATATGGTGGGATTTTAGGATCGACAATATCGGAAGAAATTATTTCACTCCAATATTTTTACAGAACAATCTTTCATAACTCCGGCAATTGAATTTTTGGTACACTTGTGGGCATGATTTGCTCCACGTCATTTCTAGAGTTGTAGGTCAATGTAGAGAACTCTAGAATTGAGGATTAGGGCTTTCAACACCCCCTCTTAATCCGCAACTCGTAGTTGTGAATTTTTATCACATTTGATGCTTCATCTTCCTTGGTCTTCTTCCTGCATTTGAACTTGCAACATTTTTTGCTTGTCCCGTCTTCTTCTGATATATAATGCAGTTTGAGTTAATGTTGTTGTTGCCGTCATGTTTTCCTCTACTGCCTGGTTCTTGCTTGGTAGTCTTGCTTTCGGCTTTGCTTCTGACATTTTGCCAGAATCTTCCTCTGTCACGAACATTGTGTTTGCCTGGACTGCTGCCATGATTTTTTTGGGATTTTTTTTTGGGTAAAATATATAATGCTAGTTTAGGAGGATAGAAAAATGATATTGGCTCTGATACCAAATTTGTAGGGGCACAATAGAAATATGGTGAGATTTTAGGATCGACAATATCGGAAGAAATTATTACTCCAATATTTTTACAGACCAATCTCTCATAACTCCGATAATTGAATTTTTGGTACAGATGTGGGCATGTTTTGCTCCACGTCATTTCTAGAGTTGTAGGTCAATGTAGAGAACTCTAGAATTGAGGATTAGGACTTTCAACATCTTTCAAATCCCAAATTGTTCTAGCTTTGATTATATACTAGTTTTTTGGCTCGCATTTTGCGGCGGTAAAGAACTAATTATATTTAAAATATCATACATTCAATTAATGATTTAGTTCAAATCAAATAATTCAAAAAATAATTCAGATAACGTGCATCCATAAATTTTAATTTGTGTATTATTCATTACAGAAGACTTTCATAGTACTTTTGTTTAATTGATGCATATTAAATAATTATCCCTACATAAATTTATGACATGGTGGTATAAAATCTTCCGTAATGTGTGCTTTAATCATAAAATCATGTTACAAAAAAATTTAACATTTGGTTAGCTATACATATCGATGAGATTATAAGAAATTTAATTAATAATAAATAACTTTTTTGAACTTATATCATTGAAGACTTACGTGTTTTTTAATAATTACGGAAGACATATGTACTGCATTTTGGTATTTAATAATAAATGAATTTTTGTTCAAACTTATATCACGGAAGACTTACGTAATATTTTTGTTTCTTAAAAATTATGGAATACATAAGTATTGTATTTTTTTTAATTGATGGAAACAAAATAACTATTTGTCCATAAGTTTTACGTAATGTATGTATAATTTACTTAACTTTTATAGAATGGTGTTACGTCAATCTTCCCTAATGTGTGGCCTAATAATTAATCAAGTTACTAAAAGTACCATATTTCATCAAACTATTATATAAAAGTTAACTATTATATAAATAACGAATCAAGTTATGAAAAGTATCACATTTGTTGAAACTATTATATTGAAGTTAACATGTCCTATGGAACAGTGCTTAGTATAACTGTTATAATATGTGGCATAATAAAATCAAGTTGTCGAGAGTATCATACTTGATTAAAGGTTTAAGTAGAACTGTCGTTTAAAGAAAATTGATAATATGATTAATATTGTAGTTAATATTTAACAACAAAGAAATTGAAAAAAGATTGATCGGCTATTACATGTACACATTTAGAATGGTAAAAAAAAACAGAGAGGCATCCAACGAGGGTGGTTACGGTGATTACTAAGGGTAAATTGGATATGGAAAAATAAATTGTATTAATTAATTTCTTAAATAAATTACATTTTAGGTAGTTACAAAAATTTATGATTTACAATTCTCTCTCTTTCTTTCACTTTCATAATCTCTGGCCAGATCTCCTTTCCTTCTTTTTCTAAATCTTTCTGCAAAAGAAAAAAAAAACACGAAATAACTACCAATCCATTAGACAACCACTACCACTTTAAAAAACATCAATACCATTGCAGAAATAAATCTATACCACTACAGGAAAACTACCAATATAAATAATCTATACCATTACAAAAGTCAAACAAATACCAAAACAACCAATACCACTACTACTGTGTAATCAAAATAATATAATTGCATAAATAAATAAGTACCATTATAAAAAAATGTAACTATACCATTTCATAAAATAAAACAATCAACCAGTACCAAAAGAAAATAAAACAATACCATTGCATAAATAAATCAGTACCTTTGCCAAATAGAACATACAAAGCCAAATCAATACTGAAATAAAAATCAAATCAACCGATACCAACATAAAAACCAGTACAAGAAACAAATGAATACCAAAATAAAAACAAACCCAATACCATATCAAAACTGAACCAATCGGGGATGGGTTGGAGAAGACTTGCACCCTGATCCTCCTTTCTCTTTGCAAATCAAACAGAATGACGTAGAGCTGAATGAACAAAAAGAAGGGGGTTGTCAATTGATCATTTTCAAGCTCTCTTCCACTGCATTTAAATAGAGACCTACACAAAGCTCTTCATATAACATAAAAGAGCAATGACCAATTCACTAATACATTAGCCATGGCGGCACTAGTACTACCACTGTCCATCTTTCTTCTTCTGCTGACGATGACGACGATGATGATTGCCTCCTCCGAAGAGGAGGATCCGTACAAGTGGGGTTGCCGGGACGGGCACGGCGGAGTCGACGAGGATATGGCGGCCGCGATAATGCAGGCTATCCCTCGACAATATGGTCGCTACACTGCCGTATAGAAAGGAGGGGCTGGTGGAGGGTGAGTGGCCGACGGGGAGGGGAAGGGAAAGAGAGAAGGGAGGGGTGGACGGCAGTGGCGGTAGGGTTTGCCTACAATATATAGAATAATCAGGTGTGATATATTATTATTTCCAAAACCACCTCTAATTAATTATAACGGTTAGATTAAAAATAGTGGAAATGAATGATACAGATGTAGGTTGCCACAGTGACAATCATTTTTAGTTGCCACCTTAACTCATCCCCATCCAACTAGATTAAAAAAGATTGATATGCTTTGTTAGCCGCTAAGTATGTACACACGCCCACATGAGATTGCAAAACACGAATGAATAGTAATCCACAATTTTGGTCACTTGCGGTATATTAATACAAAATAATATTGTAGTTAAAATTTAACAATAAAGAAATTGAAAAAAGATTGAGAGACTATTACATGTACACATTTAGAATGGTATAAAAAAACAGAGAGGTATCCAACTAAATTGAAAAAGATTGATATGCTTTGTTAGCCGCCAAGTATGTACACACGCCGACATGGGATTGCAAAACACTAATGAATAGTAATTAAGGCATTGTTATGGTAAAAAAAAGAAGTGTCTGTTGGGAAAATGAATTGGCTGTGATGGGAATCAGAAAGCAATCGAATGTGATTTGCTTCTGTTCATTATGTTTAGCTTTATACACAAATACAGGGTATACAGTTGAGAGATTTGAGGATACAGGGGAGAGTGTACAGCAGACGTGGGATAGGTATGGAAGGAAAAAACAAATAGGAAAAAGAATTGTTATTCTTTTTCTTCTTTTCCTCTAATACGCCCCCGCAAGATGGAGGAGGTGTCAACGACTCCAATCTTGGACCGAAGAAGAAGGAACCGAGTAGCCGGGAGAGGTTTGGTCAGCATATCGGCGAGTTGTTGTGCGGTGGGGACATAAGGGACAGTGAGGCGGCCAGACTGTACAAGATGGCGGAAAAAATGGTAGTCGAGAGCTAAATACTTCATACGAGAGTGGAACAGCGGATTGGCACCGAAGGAGGTGGCTCCGAGATTATCTTATAAAAGTAGAGGCGACGTAGAGAGCGGTTGATGTAGTTCAGTGAGGAGATTTTGAACCCACTCCAATTATGAAGCGGCATGAGTGATGGCCCGATACTCTGCCTCGGTACTAGAGCGCGCCACCGTTCGTTGCTTCTGTGACCGCCAAGAAATAAGAGTAGAGCCCAAGTAAACCAGATAGGTGGATGTGGAAGTCCTGTCATCGAGATTCCCTACCCAGCCAGAATCCGCAAAGGCCGTGACCCGCATAGGAAGAGATGAACGTCGAGTGGCCAGTCCATAGGAGATAGTACCACAAGCATAGCGGAGCAAACGCTTGAGGCATTGCCAATGGTGAGCGGACGGAGAATGCATGTATTGAGACAGCTTGTTGACAGTATAGACAATGTCAGGGCGTGTGTAGACAAGATACTGTAGGGCACCGAGAACTTGACGGAAGCGAGTAGCATCAGTAGGAGAGGTGCCATTATGCAATGTCAAAGAAGCAGTGGCGGCAAGCGGGGTGGAAACTGGGGTGGCGTCCAACATATGAAACCGGGACAGAACATCAGTCATATACTTGTGTTGGGAGAGAATATAACCAGTGGACGTGGGAATAACTTCAATTCCCAAAAAGTAATTCACATCCCCAAGTTCTTTGAGAGAAAACTTGCTTGCCAAAGCATTCTGAAAGGCAGAGAGCGTGGAAGCATCATTCCCTATGAGCAAGAGATCATCGACATAGACCAAAAAATAGAGGATAATGCCCGAGCGATGATAAACAAAGAGGGATGCATCAGACTCTGTCTTCCGGAAGCCAAAGGAGAGAAGAAAAGAGCTGAGAGCAGTATACCATGCTCGGGGGGCCTGCCGTAAACCATAAATAGCACGGCGCAGGCGCAAACATGGTTGGGATAGGTAGCATCAATAAATCCAGGAGGTTGTTCCATGTATACCTCATCATCAAGCGGCCCTTGAAGAAAGGCGTTGTTAACATCAAACTGCTTAATCGCCCAATTCCGTGAAAGAGCAATAGAGAATACCGTACGGACCGTAACAGGTTTGACCACTAGACTGAAAGTGTCCTGAAAATCCACACCAGGCCACTGATGAAAACCTTTGGCAACAAGGCGACATTTGAAGAGATTGATGGAGCCATCAGAATGATGCTTGATGCGGTAGACCCAGCGGATGCCAAGAACATTAAAATGTGGTTGACGAGGAACAAGATCCCATGTATGATTACGAAGAAGAGCCGAGTGTTCCTGACGAAGTGCAGTATCCCATTCAGTGTATTGCATAGCCTCTTTGACAGAACGAGGCTCTAGGGGCGGAGTGCGGGTAGTGAAGTGGGCTGGAAATAGGCGTTTGGGCTTGTAAATCCCATCTTGGGCCGTGGTTGTCATTTTGTGAGTGCGGACAAGAGGTGGCGGGGCAGTGGACTGGCGGGTAGTGGGTGGCACTGATGTGAGGAGAGGGCTGACAAACCGGGGAGGCCCAAGGGAAGACGATGGGCCGGACGAGGCCTGAGGCGGGGGCCCGGGAACTGGCAAGGGGCCAGGGGTAGAGTGGGGCTGGGGCCCGGGCGCTGAAGATGGGCCATGAGAACCCGGCAGGGAAGGCAGGGGTCGGGCCGATGGGGATGGGCCAATTGCAGAGGTGGGCTCAGGCCCAGGCTGAGAAGTGAAGGCAGGCAGGGGCCCAGAAGCTGATGTTGAGTGTGAGGGCGCTGCGCAAGGGGATGCCAAAGCAGAAGGAGAAGCAGGGAAGGCTGATGTGAGCGATCCAGCATGAAATGGAACAGAGGTGATGGTGGGCCCGTTGTCAGTGAGCCACGATGCCACCTCAGAAGATTCTGCAGAGGGGTTAGAAAAATACCTAGGAAACGAATTTTCAACAAAATTGACATGACAAGACAGGAAAATGCGTTTTGTGAGAGGGTCAAAACATTTATACGCACTCCGTTGTGGACAGTAGCCTAGGAATAGACAAGGACGAGAGCGAGGAGCAAGTTTATGAGACGAATAGGGCCGGAGCCAGGGATAGCACAAGCAACCAAAAAATTCGAAGCTTGTGATAATTTGGGACAATGTTAAAGAGGACGGTATATGGTATTTGACTACGTAAGGCAGAGGAAGGCATACGATTAATCAAATAGATTGCAGTAGAAAAAGCATAAGACCAAAAGATGGTAGGTAAATTAGCATGATGCAGGAGAATGATACCCGTTTCTACAAGATGGCGATGTTTACATTCAGCTAAACCATTATGCTTAGGCGTGTGAGGAGGGGTAACGAGATGACTAATGCCATGAGTGACCAGGGTGGAGCATAACTTCTGAAATTCCCCACCACCATCAGAATAAATACGACGAATGGTGGTGGAAAAATAATTTTCAACCATCGTGCGAAAGGCAAGAAACACATCAAGCACATCAGATTTACGTTTTAAGGGATAGTACTAAGTATAATGGGAAAAATGATCAACGATGATTAAATAATAACGAAAATCATCAGTGGAGGTGACCGAAGCGGGCCCCCCAAACATCCGTATACAATAAATCAAATGGTCTAGTGCTAGAGAGAGAAGAGACAGCAAAAGGGAGTTTGTGACTCTTATTCGAAAGACAAGAATGACAATGAGTACTGACACATGAGGAAGAGACTGGTAAAGAATTTGTGCGAAGGAGACTGGAAAGTGTTTGGGACGAGTGATGACCGAGACGAGCATGCCACGATGTCGAGGACGTGCACGTGGTGACAAGAGTGAGGCGGACCGTGTTCACATCAGCTGGCAGCTCATAGACATCCCCATTATTTGCTCCTTTCAGCAGTGGCGCCCCCGTGCGAAGATCCTTCACAACAAAACAATCAGCAAAAAATTCCACCGAAATGGGATTAGTACGACAAAGTTTGGCTACGGAGATAAGTTTACGGTTGATGGCAGGAGCACAAAGAACATCTTGTAGTTGTAAATTGGAATTTGGGAGCAGAGAAGACCCAATGTGTGTGATTTTCAAACCTGAGCCGTCGCCAAGGAGAATTTCATCAGGACCATTGTAGTTCGAATAAAGTGATAAAGCGCCTAGATCAGGAGTGACATGATGTGATGCAGCCGAGTCAAGCAGCCAGGGTGCCGATGGAGAGGAACGGGTAACTGTGGAATGATGGGCCTGGGCCTGGCGAGCTTGATAGGCCTGGCGAGACTGGGTAAAGAGTTTAAAACATTGCCGAACGGAATGGCCAGGACGCTTGCAATATTGACAGATAACAGCAGGCATGCGCTGATTAGTGGAGGAGGCCGAAAACTGTCCTATAGATAAATCATGGGCTTGAGGGCTTGGTGCCCGTGGGAAACCTTCATGGGCCCGCTGAGAGGAGGGGGCCTGGGCCCGCTGTGATGAGGTTGGCCGCGGAGAGGGATCGCGACGCTGAGAGCGGCCAAATGATGAAGATCCGCCGCCGAACCGATGCCCCTGGGAGAAGAAGGCGGTAGGTACAGAGGTTTTCATCTGCGCCTTCAAGTCAGATTCATACTCAACCAGGGAATCGACTAAGTCTTCCAAAGCGAGACCTGGTCCCCTCGCACGAATGGCAGCAGCAAAGGAGGCATATTCTTCACCCAAGCCCCAAAGACAGTAAATGACGAGGTCGATATCAGAGACAGGATCACCAATGAGAGCGAGCTCCGCTGCAGTGTTCTTCAAATCATTCACGAAAGATAATATATCACGATCACCCTTGGAGGTCTTGGCCAATTTGCTTTTGAGATAAATGACACGGGATTGAGCGTTGCTGGCATAGAGCTTCTCAAGAATCAGCCACGCAGCACGCGATGTAGCGGCAGCGGAGACGAACGAGTAGATGGACTCAGAAATTGAGCAGCGCAAGGCGTGAAGGATCACTTTGTCCTGGCGAAACCACAATTGATACGCTGGATTGGGTTTTTCAGCGCCGTTTTCCGTGACTGTGCGAGCAGGGGCGGCAGTCGTGTCGTCGATGAAGCCAAACTGGTCGAGGCCAAGGAGCAGCGTTTCAAGCTGAGAGCGTCAGGCGGCGAAGTTGGACGGGGTAAGCTTCAACGGAAGCTGAGCAGCGGGATTGAAGGTCACTATGGCAGGGACCATGGTGGAGGAAGTAGTGTCGAAAATTTCAGAGTCACCGGCCATGGCGGCAGAGAAAAAAAAAACAGAATGATGAAGGGAATAAAGTGGGGATTTTGATCGGGAAAAGGAGATTGGATCGACAACTAGCTGAACGTTGCTAGCTCTGATACCATGTTGGGAAAATGAATTGGTTGTGATGGGAATCAGAAAGCAATCGAATGTGATTTGCTTATGTTCATTCTGTTTAGCTTTATACACAAATACAGGGTATACAGTTGAGAGATTTGAGGATACATGGGAGAGTGTACAGCAGACGTGGGAAAGGTATGGAAGGAAAAAACAAATAGGAAAAAGAATTGTTTTGCTTTTATCGTATGCAACAGTAATCCACAATTTGGATTACTTGCAGTATAATAATATAAGACATTGTTATGGTAAAAAAAAAAAGAAGTGTCCGCTTGTTTCGTATGCATTAGAATTTCACAATTTGGGTTACTTGCGGTATAATAATATAAATAATATTGTAGTTAAAATTTAACAATGAAGAAATTGAAAAAAGATTGAGAGGTTATTACATAATGGTAAAAAAAACAGAGAGGTATCCAACAAAATTGAAAAAGATTGATATGTTTTGTTAGCCGCCAAATACGTACACACGCCCACATGGGATTGCAAAACACTAATGAATAGTAATTAAGACATTGTTTTGGTAAAAAAAAAGGAAGTGTCCGCTTTTATCGTAGGCAACAGTAATCCACAATTTGAATAGTAATTGAGACACACGCTTCAATCAATCGCACAAGTCTAGCTGAAAATTACATAGCAAGCATTACTGTGAACAAAATATTCATCAGGAAGTAATCTTGTTGTGATAGTATTTTACCATTTCAGAAGCGACCAAACTATTATCATTAATGAGTCTTCATTTGATAAAAGCATATTGTAATTTTTTAATTACCTTAGGTAGTACATCAGTTAATCTATTTGTAAGCAACTTAAAAATCCCGATGTATAATGTATTAAAATATTGTGATTTGCAATGATATGTGATTATCAACGTTTATGAAAAGTTAGTAATATACAAAATTGTTTATATTTTGGAAGGTGATTATAACCTACGATGTTTAATATATTATTAACACTTGCGAAATCATTTTCAAATAGGGTAGCTGTAAGTTGAAGCACAAGAAGAAGGTAAAAGAGAAGAATTGCTATATATTCTTCTCTAATATATGATTTTCTCGATCGGGTCGATGATACTTTCGATACGATTTAACATATTACAGGTAGGTGTTTTATTCGAATTCGATCAGCCCTCCTCAAAATAAACCGTTAGCTTGTTAGTGTGTGGTATATGATCCACTATTGAACCTCTCTCAACAACTCGAGTTATTGGGAGCAACTGGTTCTTGACATGGTATCAGAGCCTTCTGTGACCGAGAGGTCTTGTGTTCGATTCCCGATAACTCCCATTTGTTAAGCACATGGCATTCGGACTGGTGCAAACTTCAAGCCCTTATCAGTGGCTTTCGTTTGAGGGGGCGTGTTAGTGTGTGGTATATGATCCACGATGGAACCTCTCCCAACAACTCGAGTTATTGGGAGCAACTGGTTCTTGACATAGCTAGCTAGGTTGCGATGACACCAGCCTTAATTTACTAGCCCTACTAGCTAAGCTAGATGTTTGTTGTGGCTATAAGAAGAAAGACGGGCATGGGTTGGCTTGTAGCATCAAGTCAGAGAGAGATAGTGAGAGAGCCTTCTTTGCCATATATATTTCCTAACTTGTTGATATATATATATATAAAATTATAATTCACTGCTGCTCTTCTTTCAGGTGATGGGGACAACGGTAGCCGGTTTGCCGCGGTTTGTGGTTCTCCGATCAAGGAGCGCCAACAGGTACCTGCATTACCTTTGGAACGACCAGTGGGGGCTGGGGTACCACGAGTTCGTTGGCTTGAAACGGGACCTGGACCCGGTCAGCCCCTTCGTCAAGCTCGAAGTCGTCCCTTCCACCACAAACCCATCTTCCTTCGTCCACCTCCGCTGCTCTTACAACAACAAGTTCTTCCGTGCTGTGCAAAGGCAAGTCCATCAAAACCAGAATCTTTGATTTGTTCACATCTATATATTTATATTTACTACGACGTGGGAGTGTAATAAAATCAAATAAAAAACAGGTTTGGCGTGTGGTTCGTCGCTGCCATGGCGAACGACCCCAACGAAGACACCTCGAGAGTCGGCGAGTGCACGCTCTTCGAGCGGGTGTTCGTCGGAAACCAGATCAACACCGTGTGGTTCCGTTACGTGGCCAACCAATGCCGTCTCATCTGGTTCAACAACGCCGCCTATGCGGACCTTCATCGTCTGTCATGCGTCTACAGCCAGGATCCCATCTACACCGACTTTTACGAGTTCGCGCCTTGGGAGTCGTACGAGGATAAGATGAGGGCCAAAGACTACCAGATCCAGACCCGTGACATGGACATCAAGGTGTTGACTGCCCAGGTGGCCGCCAGAGACGAGGAGCTCCGCAACCTGCGCCGCCAGCTTGCCGACAAAGACCAGGACATCCTTAACCTTAAGGGCCGGTTGGCGGCTCTCAAGGCCTACGTGGAGAAAAGGAAGGCCAAACTGGAGTATGGAATGCTGACTCTGCAGTCCACCGTCACATCCGCCTGGGAGTCGTTCCAGCTGAACGTCGCCTGTGGAATCGTAAGAATTACAGCTGGTTTCGAACAGGTACTCAAATTGCCAGCGACATGATCGGACCAGACCAGACCACACCAAAACCAGACAGCGTAGCTGTCGGATCGGATCGGATGGATGCTATACTTATAAAAGATGGAACTCGGTCTCCCGCCAACTCGTCATTTCGTTTTATTTAGTTTTCTCATGTTCGTATTGATCAAGAGGGTAGAGTTTAATATGTCTACTAGCATATAAGCTCGCTCGGTTTCGCTTCGCGTTGAGCAAGAAGATGATATTTTAAAGATTGATAGTTTGAATTTGGATCCAAAAGTAAAGAGGAGGTCATCTACAACTATATATAGTCGATACAATGATGAACTTTAATAAGGGAGAAGTATCAACGAGCAAATGATTTCTATGTTTAATGTTCTCTCTGGTTTATGTTATTTTTGGTTTGTTTTTTTTTTTAAAGTTCATATTGATTCTCCTTTTTTATGGATTTCAAAATTAATCACAGGTCTGAAAAGGTTCAACTCACTTTGGCCGGGTCAAAATAGGTTGAATACCCATGAGTTTGGGTTCAATTTCATTCTCAAAAAAGGAGAAATTAACACAGACACTAAAGTGGATAAAACTCGCTCACGACCCAAAATTATGCAACATCGAACTTTCTCTGACCAGGATGAGCCGAGTCTGTAACAAATTCACAACCGACACACCGCCAATTACAAAAGCGAATAAAACTCACTCTCGCCCGAAAACTTGTAAACACCGGGTTCAATTCGTTTTGATAAGGTTGAATTAGCTAGGTTAAATACCCATAGGTTTGGTTCTCAACCAAAAGGAAAAGGAAAAATAAAAGCACTAAAGCGGATAAACTCGCTCCCTACCAAAAACTCTACACATCGAGTTCAACTCGCATTGACCGGTTTGAACTGAGTTTATGACAATCCACACTCGGCTCAACATGTCATTTCTAAAATCATATAAAACTCTCTCTCTATAGAAAACTCGTCAGCAAGATTTACAATGGTAAGTCTAGACACATTAGCCTAAGACATGATTACGTTAGTTATTTGATTACTAACGAAATTATTTATATTGTGTATGTAAGGTCATGCAACAATTTGGCAGATCCTCTTACGAAGGGATTGCCAAGAAGCATGATCTATGAGACATCCCAGGGGATGAGATTGCGACCTTTTGTATAGTTAGAAGTAATATATAGGAACCCAACCTTTTCTTTTGGTATTTACTAATTAAGAGGTGCAATTTGGTAATAACAAGTTACTCTAATGGCGGAACTAGTTTATTGTACAAATAAATTATTTGAAAGAAGGGTGAATTATCGAAATCCGAATGACGTTCAGTTGGAATGTGATCATTGAGAGTGGTGCCGCTCTAACAAAAGTAGAGGTCAACTTTTGTGTATGCTCATGAAACATGATTAACACATGGTTATAATAGTGCTACCCTTGTTGGTGATTGTGTTTTAGAGAAGAGACAAGTACATGTGTGGCATCTTCGGTTATAGTTTTGGACAAGCCTCCTAGGCTTAAGTCTATCAGTGATTCGCTATCAACTATGAGTTTCTTACACTAGGTAAAGGTTCAAATCGAGAAGATACCTTTATTTATGCATTACTTGTTCGATAAGGTATTTTCAATCATTGTTGACTAAGTGGGGGATTGTTAGAGTAGTCAACAATAAGGAAAATACCACATTGGTGGGAGAAGGGAAGTGCAAGTGGTTTATAGCCTAACTTCTTGCTTTAATTTGTTGAATAAAGTAGTATGTGGGTTTTGGAAAAAGTGTGTGCAATTTAATTTGACATATTAAATCGCACTACGCATTTAGCACTTAGCGCGAGGCGTTCGGAATTAAATTTTTGGCTATTTTATTGATTTTTGGAATTAATTTTTATTAATTAATTTTTAATAATTAATTAAGTTTGAATTTTGCGAAAAGACGTAACCCTTGAGAAGGATAAGGGAACTGACGTTTTTCTCACAATAAAAAGATGTTGACCAGAAAAAAGTATTGCTTTCAGACTTTGATTTGAGGGACTCCTGAGGGTGGTTTGCTTAATCCTACCAGTAATACATAATAGGGGGCAAGTAGCACTCTAAAGAGAGTGATCTTATCACACTTTCAATCTGCTATTTTCCTACATTTTCCTTGACACATGATAATATCTTATTCCTACTAAGCATTTCCACCGTATCATAAAAAGTTTATGTATGGCTCTGATTCATTTAATCTGTCACACAACACAACCATCATCGCAATGTGAATTACCCTTGGGCCTTGAGTCATAGGATAGATATCGAACTGCAGATGTGACCTACCAGAAAATTCATTTAAGAAAATTTCGTGTGCTATATATTTACTATCCACCAGAAATTGGTCCAGTGAGCTTGAAAATTAAAGCGCATTCCATTCCAGTCTATGTCATTCTCATAACTCTACACATCTTTCACAAGATGGCACTGGCCAGCGATGTAATAGATAAATATCGATGACCTGTCCATACCATTCAAACCTATTCCATGTGCATATTTATTGTATCGCATTAGATTGGTCCAGTCCTGATTAAGATATTGATGATCAGAAAAAAGTAATTTGGTTATTTATACCTTTCTTCACCAGATCGTTTTGGTGGCAAATTTGGTCACTATAGCCAACGCATATAAAGAACTACCAACAAAACCATAATGATGATAGGCTGGTGTCATATTTTATTGGATTGTAATAGTCCTCTACTTTATTGGTCAGGAAAGTAGGTGACCTGTCACTATAAATATAACTTATACTTAAATCTCACTAACACACACATATTGCTTGAGCGATGACGGATCGAGACCAAACTTGGAAGTTCACCTTTTGAGCCATTTGGCTTTGGGCCCTCCATTAAGTTCCTCTTTTGATATCTTCGTGAACAATATAACTGGCCTCGAGTAGGGTTGAACACGGGACCTCGCACTTCCCTGTCGAGGGTCTATCGAGGGTTTTACCGGTTGGCCAATTTGACATTTGGCAATTCAATTTAATTGATATGGGCTTCATGTAGGCCAGCCTGCTTAATTCTCACGTAAGACCTTATTTTCCTTAGTTCGGTTTAAACACAACCATGGAATTTTGTAGGTCCGTGAAAAGGTAGGGTCTGATTCAGACCGAACTATACACACGATATATAATTCAGAACAAGAAGCTGGAATATAGACCAAGAACCAAACCAAATACTATACAGGTAAAACCAGATCACCCCTATACAATTTGGTCTAGCACTCAATTGTTGTTTTTAAAAGATTACTTTTGTAAAAACTCTAGTCAAAAGCTAGTTTTGTAAAAGAAATATTTATAATTTTTCACTCTATTCAAAAGCTAGTTTTGTAAATTATAATTTCAAAATAGTTTATCACAAAAAATCCAAATTAGAGATTCTTAATTATTTTATGTTCACTTTCTAGTTTTTCAAAAACTCAGTCTGTATAAATGTTTGATCCGGATTCAAATTGTAAAAAAATTCCTAATGTAAGATTAAACATGAACCATAGACTATTTATATCCACCAGAGTTGGTTGAACTACCTATTTCATTCTTATAATCAATTCTCGCATGAACAACCAAGGCATGCAAACTCGCATGAACCCTAGATATTGTTCCACTTGTTAAATGAATATAAATATAATGAATTTGCTAGGGTGACTTTCAAGTAATTGAGACTTGAATAAAACAGTCGATCGCTATCTTAAAATGACTCTACTATTAACAAAGAAAATTGATGGTCGCTCCAATAGAACGTTCGATTGGTTGTCCATATGTGTTGGTGCATAATTCCACCACCATGAAGGTTTTAGTACTAAAGAATCGCATCATTATCATTTAATCCAAAGAACCCTATAAATAACCATCTACACTATTAATTTATCAATCTACAAATCGAGTAAACAAATTTTTGTGGCTTTGTAACTTGGTGAAGCAGAAAAGATGTCGTAATATCAAAGGTAGTTTGTTCATGCAATACTTGCAGATCAACATGTCGATCATGTCGGTTGTCTGGTAAACCTTTCAGGTGTAATCACGGGCTTCATTATTTTAAGAACACTCTCCATGACATTACCTTGAGGTATGAAAATATCCTTAGCTCTAGTAGATCGACCTCTCCATGGTGTAGTAGACCAATTCTTTTGATTGGTAATTGTGGAGTGTTATTTCCACAAGGTAAGTGTTTCATCTGATCGGTCATTTTCCTTAAACGAACAACAATTTTCGCAGCAGAAAGTTTTAACGACAAATTCTTTGCGTCGCAAAAAATTATAAGCGGCTGTCACCTATAGATCGTCGTAAACGTTCTGTGACAAAAATAACTACGTCGTCACAAAAAATTTCAAATTCTTTGCCGAAGGTCGATGATTTATTGATGAACATGTCGTCGCAGAATGGTCATATGGTTACGACCGGACCTACGTGGCTGAAAAAGATTATTTGCAACGGATTGTGTGTCACAAAAACATTAATTTAGCGCCGAAATATGTCGTCACCAAAAGTTACGAGCTTTAGCGACGAAGACTTTGTTTTTTAGTTATCCACAATTTGTTTTCTAGTTCAATTTAGTATAGGTCCCAATTTGTTTACTGGGTTGTTTTCTGGTTCATGCACAAAATATGCTGGTCCACATCAAATCGTCTTCTCATAAAACCCAAAATTTCAGATTCACCCAAGATAACCACACTACCAATTCTCAATTTTTAATCATCATCCAAAATCCTAATTTGCAAGCCATTTAAAAACCCTAATACTAACCAATTATTTAAAGATTGACACAAAAGCCTCTTTAATCCCAAACCTGCAAAAAATTAGAATCAAACAAAAAAGATTAACCAGGGGAATGAAAAACATCTTACGAAAAATCAGAAAGGTGCCCTGCCCTACCTGTCTTCTTCCCTTGTCTTCGTCCATCCGCTGTAGCCCTCCAGAAATTGGTCCTGTGAGCTTGAAAATTAAAGGCCATTCCAGTCTAGCTATTTATTCTTATAACTCTCTTATACGCACACATCTTTCACAAGATGGCAATGGCCAGCAATGTTATAGATAAGTATTGGTGCCCTGTCCATACCTTGAATAGTCATCTTCATCTGCAACATATATAGATCTTAACTATTGGTGGCCTGACCATCGATAATTCAAAGTTTTTTTTTTTTCGCTACAAAATGAGATAGCAATTTTTAATATTTTTTGAGAAAAAAGATTGCATACCTCTCGTTATCAACTTCATACCATATGTTATCTCCTTCATTTTTAAGTCGTTTTTGAAAATATTTGCACAGAAGGAACGAGTTCATCATGATCCATTGGATCTACAAATTTCTAGGTGAAAAATACAGGACCAAAAAAATATTATACTATACCACCTTTGTTTGAGGGTGGTAACTTGTAGTACACAATAATGAAAATCGTGAATGACATTTAATATACTCACACTATCATGTATTTAACCATCCTACAGTCTTGGTATATTTATACCATCATGGTACACTTTCATAATCGATAAGTGTTATTAACGACCAAAAATAGAAAATGCCACACTCCAAGAAAGGAAACGACTTCCACCCTCTCTCGGCCTCTAGAGCTTGAATCTTTTTAATTGGTCCATTGCACATTCTAGCTCCTCTTCTCATCATCTCGGCTCGAACGAAGAACAGAGGATGTAAGTTCTGTCCAATTGGCGGAGAGAATTATAGATTTTCTTATTGCTTTGGATCGGAGGAGCCGAACCAAGAACAACTGGTTTTTTTTTTTTTTTTTTTTATGTGATGAGTTAAAACAGCGACGTTTTAGTTGGCGATGTGGCGGATAGACGGTTAACTGGTAGAATAACCATTAACTACACTATTGATTAACAATTAATCGATAAGTTTTGACGGATCGAACTATCCTATCCACTTCACATTCGCCAACGTTATATCCAATCTTTTTGCTATTATTGGTATGACATAATTGTTATTGTTATTGTTTTTCCCCCTTACATTATAGGGACCGAAATCACCGAATCAAAGATGCTATTGAATTCTTATGGTCGTTAGATTGATAGATACAAACAAATTGCATGATATTGATCGAACATATCGGCCATCCGGCAAAGGAACTAAAAAATTGAAAAAAAGTTTACACAAGCACCAGACACCACGCATGCATAGACACCACGCATGCATACAGTACGTACGCTAACAAAGTGTACAAACATTTATTCTTCAATACATGACAAAAACAAAAAAAAAACAAACGAAACATCAATACTGCTAAAAGAAAGGCTTTTTGTCAGCAACACGCTTGCGTAAATTTCGTGGCAAACTGTGAAGCTGACAACCAACTTATTGCGACGGAAGTTGAAACATTTAGCGACCAGTTTTGTCGTAGATATGATTGCATGCAGTTTCACTTTGATGCATGGGGTGGCCCTTGAGTTTACGCTTTAACCGGATCGATTCCTGCCCTGACGTCGAGCTGGAACGAATCCCAAGCCGAAACCACCATGGATTGCAGCGTTAGCTTCTCTTCCTCCAGTTTGGCCTTCCTCTCCTCTTCCCTCAGCTCCAGGCCCGCGACCTTATCTTCCAGCTCCCGAATCCTGTCCTTCAGCTCCTGAATCTTGTCCCTCAGCTCCTGATTCTCGGCCTCCAGCTTACTCTCGTACGATTCCCACTCCATGAACTCGAACAACGCACCGGGGGTAACTGCCCTGGAGTAGCAAACACCCAACCGGTGCAAAAGGGGGATTTGATCGTTAGGGAAAACCTCAACTAGGTTGCCGCTCGCCAAGTGACGGAACCAGACAGTAGCGTTGTCGCTGTCGGGGCTTAACACAGGCTGGAACAGGGTGCATTCGCCTCCCTTGGAGACGTCCTCCTCCTGGGCGTCGGCGGTGGCGGAGACGGTGGAGACGGTGTTGATTCTCTGGACCCGCCAGTACTTGCCGTTGTGAGAGCAGCGGATGTGGACCGAGGAGGATGGGTCGGTGCTGGAGGGAATCACCTCCAATTTCACGAACGGGCTCACCGCTTCGAGGATCCGGCGCGTGGCCATGCACTCAAAGTAACTCTCGCCCGCAATTTGGCGGTCCCAAATGTAATGCAGATACCTGTCGTCGACCTTTGATCGGAGCACCATATTCCGCGGCAGTCTGGCTACTCTCTCCATCGATTCCGCGGGAAGGGAACGAATAATTGGTGTTGGTGTTTTTTTTTTTTTTTTTTTTTTTGGCTTTCTGCTTTTGTTGCCTGGATCGAGAAATGATTATAGTTTAATTTATAGACACAATAAGAAGCAAAAATTTCAAACACTACTAATTAATAAAAAGGAGGGTGGTTGCACCTATACCTACTCGTCATGTGTGGCTTTTTTCTACTTCTTTTTTTGATGATCTTAGATTTTTTTTTTTTTTTTGTTATTCTCCTTTTGTTATATGTATGAATATCGATGGACCAGTCATACACTCTGCGTTGAATACAATAGTAGGTGACACATTAAGGGTTGCTGATCGATGGTCACGTTATCAACCTACACAGTTAACGTACGTTGGAGGAAGCTCAATTACTCGATCGTGCATAACTGAATGGAATTGTGCATGGTTTGAAACTTGGATAAAAATTAGGAGCTAGAAAAGTTCTTCTCATACGCACATGATCATTGATCATTGTTGGGTCACTTATCGAGACGCCACAACCCAACATCTACAATCCACCTGCATTTCCGAGATCCGAGGTTGGTTAGCCATAGACTAGGAAGTCAAGATTGAGCATACCGATTGAGAGGCAAACATTAAGCTTGTTGATTATGCTCCGTATATAATTGTACTATGATCACATTGGCGTTCAAACATCGAGTTTAATGAATGCATAAAAGGCCAGTTTAGTGGCAATATGGGATGAAAACATCTACCATATCCTAGACTCGTGAGATCAACAAATTTTAAATATAATATCCGAAAAAGGAAAACAATAGAATCATTGCATTTATTTTATATTGAATAATAATTGTATCAAATAACTTGTTTTACTAAAATATAAAAAATAAATAAACAAAAATTAAATATATTATATTTATATAATATAAAATAAATGAATATCATTGTTTAGATCATAATTAATGTGTTCATTATATTCAAGAAATTTAAATTTCGAGTTAAAAAGAATGAGATATGATTCGAGTAAGATAATTAGGGCTTAGAACAAAGTGTCTTCTCTATTTCTTGGATCCGTGTGACTTAAAAATAAAAAATGGCAGAGGGTGTTGAATTACTGGTTTGCTCCTCCTTAATTTTTTTTATTGCGAACTATTTTGGACTGTTATATGTGATTAAGATAAAGGAATTAGATTGTATTTTGTAAAATAAGGTTTTGTACCTCATCCTTTTCCTCTGGAACTTTATTTATTATCAACACATGAGGAAATTAAATTACACGAAAGGATGAGCTGACGGAGATCGAGTTCCACCCTTAATATAAGTATATAGCATCAATCCGATGGTCTGGGTTTGTTCTGGCATGGTCGGATCATATAGCTCGCGGTTTGAGTACCTGTTCGAAACCGCTAGTAATTTTATCACTATAGTCTACACAGGTGATGCTTGGCCTGAATGACTCGAAAGTCGAAACGGATAACACGGTGAACATCTTTACATAAAAGATATAACTTATTATGGGAAATTTGACATTTCCCTGTATAAATTTTTGTGTCCTTTACAAATAGAAATGGTGGTATATATTATGGTAATTTTTTCAATATTAAAACTATTAAACACGAAAACACACTTTAAAATATTAGATTTTCTGTGATTAAAGGATCTTTTCCAAGCAGTATGATAGAGTCCGGTGTCCCGAGCTCTATCTAGGGATTTAAGAATTGGGGGTCAATAGAGGTTTGACCTTAGAGGTGGAATTGCAGAAGAGTTGGGAAAGGAGGAAGTTGAGAATAGAAAAGGGGAGGGGGCAGTGGCTGCTCGGCAGCCTGGGGGAGAGTAGGAAGAGGTTTGGCCGAGGGAGAGAGGAAGAGGTTTGGATTTGTTTAGGTTTAATCTTTGCTTAATCCTCTAATCCCACGTACAAGTAGTTTATATAAAAATGACTAATTTTTTATCGCTATCCGATTTATCAATTATTCTCCAATTCCCGAAATAGTTCTAATAATCCGAAATAATAATAACAACAATAATTCAAAGTACTAAAATGCAAGTTTCTGTTCGATTTCCAACCAGAATGCACAATACTCATTTAAGATTGCGCGCATATACTTTTTTTTTCCTTGTAAATCCATATTTATTTATTATCCACCAGAATTGGTCCCCTACCTAGAAAAGACCACCATCAAGCCCAATATATATATCACTCATAATTCTCTAACACACAATATGGCCATGGCCAGCTATGGAATCGATTGTGTGATCTGTTTTTGAATAGTCATCTTCATCTACCATATCAGTAGAGCTGGATCGACGCGGCTAAACTTTCCAGCAGCAATGGGGATAGACTCTATTCACAGCCTATTCCAATGTTCGAATTTATGTACATCATATGGATTTTGTTACAATGACTTACAAGTCACTGTAATTTGGGAAAACGGTTTATTTTTTCTTATATGTGATTGACCAATTTCCAAGAAAATGATCTACCGCTTCTATCAATCGCTTTACCTTATGAACCATTGCTAATAACATCATCATATATAATTAGAGGAATCCAATATTAATAGATGTGGTTGCTAGTAAGAGAGTTAAAATTAGTACAAATGATGGAGCATAGATGAGAAGCTTCTTGTGTACGTGTGAATATTCACCCATAAATGTGGGAAATGTTATGGATATGTACCTCTTAGATTTGACTTACTTTATAGAGGCTTTCATATTTCCTTCAAATTTTGCTATTGTGTGTTTTTATCCTAGAAGGGTTGTTTGGACGAGTTTTTTCATTATGTGGTATGTGTAGGTTGAAATAATTCATTCTGTAGTATTTGAGAAAATGTAGGAAACAATTGGTTTGTTTGGATGGTTACAAAAAGATGGGTTGTCTTTTGATATTTTTTAGAAGAAGTCAGAAAAGACCATTATGCTCTATAGTTAATACCCCAGCTTGTTTTTTTTTTTAATTAAATACCCCATCACAACCATTGCTGCTCGAACATAGTGATCGATGGCAATGGGACGGAACGGGGTGGGTACCTCCGTCCCACGCTATTACGGGTGGGGCGGGTATAACCTGTGCGGATACGGGGTGGGGCGGTCTACCCACTCATACATGTTATTTAAAAAAAATACACGTAAATTTTGCTTTTTACGATAAAATAAAGGAGAAAACACTTTATGAATGAAAAATAGTGATAATAGAATGGGTAATTGAGTATAACAAGTTGAAAGATCGACTCTAACTAATTGCAAGAAAGTCAAAATAGGAAAAATATGTATAGATACCATAAGAAATTGAGATAAAATGGGTCAAGAATGGAGCGCGGCGGATCAGAAGTTGACTCGCATGATAAATGTCAAACATTCAATTTCTATACAGATTAGATGTATGTTTTTTTAGTAAAATTATCATTACTAATTATCATGAGAAATGAATTATCTTTTAAATATATTAATGTATCTAAAATTATGCTATTTCTTATTAGACCATATTTCTTTCTCTAACTGACATATGAATAAGAATTTATCTAGTGATCAGGCCAATCTAGACAAATGCATTGAAGATCACTTATCAAGCCAATTGGCCAAATATTTTGACGCCTTGATTTTCGTCTACTTCCGTAAGATCTTATCATCTATGGTTAGATTAGGCGCAAATAAACTATCTTTCTTCTTGGAATGCTTAATACTTAGAGTTCAATAAAGGGTTATAGGTACGTATAATATGTTCCTCTATTATGACGTTTTATCAAACATGCCTCTCTATTATTTTTTACATCAAATATACCCATGTACTTTGTAAAAATGATCAAACATGCTCTTTTGTTAAAATTTTCATCCAAAAATCGTTAACCAAGGCCGAACTTTAGTTTGGTCGACACAAATGACTAAAATATCCCTAATAAATTCACTTTAGATTTTTTTTGGTTCTTTTGTATAATCAAATAATTCAAATAATTTCACTTTGAAAAGACCCAGGGAAATAAAACAGGGGACAAAACTGTCATTTTCTCTCCCATTTGCCGATGTCGGGTTGTCTAAATCTCGGTTCAACCATGATTGACGATTTTTTCAATGGAAATTTTAACAGAAGGGCATGTTTGATAAATTTTTTCAAAGTACAAGGGCATATTTGAGGTAAAAAAAATAATAGAAGGGCATGTTTGATAAAACGTCATAGTGGAGAGACATATTATACGTATAACCCTTCAATAAACATAAACACCCATTAGTTAAGAGAAATGAAAGCATAAAAAAATTATTAACTCTGATACTCTAAGCAGCAATCAGGACCCAGTGATTAGATTAAAATATGAGTTGACTAAGCTTACACTCAGATTCCCTTTCCTTTATATTTCAATTCCAATTCGACCAATTAGTTACTTGACAATAATAATACACTCAGATTCTCTTTCCTTCTTTTCTAAAGGGCGTCTCCTACATACTATCAATCATACGTGGCTGGTGCTTATTCCCAAAGTATCAAATGCCGACTCTATGAAACAATTGCGACCGATTGGTCTCTGCCAGGTTATGTATAAAACTATTTCCAAGATCCTCTCAAATAGGCTGAGTATCGTTCTCCCTCATATTATTAATCCTTTTCAAAATTGTTTTATCAAGGGTCGTTGCATCACTGACAATATTCTTATTGGTCAAGAACTGATGCGGTTTCTTAAAACCAAAGTCTGTGGACAAGACAAATGGATGGCTCTAAAACTCGATATGGAAAAGGTGTACGATCGTGTGGAATGGGAGTTCTTGTTTCATGTAATGGAGTCGATGTGTGCTCAGTGGATGAAATGGATTAAGGCTTGCATCACGACCGTTCGTTTCTCGGTGCTCCTCAATGGCAATGACTATGGTTACTTTCAACCTCAACGGGGTATCCGTCAAGGTGATCCCTTGTCACCTCTTCTTTTTGCCTTCTACTCGGAAGCTTTAGCAGTAATGATCAGTCAAGGTGTTGCTGCCTTTACGCTCCATGATTTAAAGGTGCACATGTCTTCTCCTTCTCTCTCTCACATTTTTTCTGCGGATGATTCCTACCTTTTCCTTCGCGCCTCTGTTCCTGAATGTGCTAACCTTCTGCAACTTTTGGTGGATTATGAGATGTTTAGTGGGCAGCGGGTTAATCTACATAAGTCTGTTGTGTGTGGGAGTGCGAATGTTTCTGAACAGGAGTTATTTTCGCTTAGTGTGTTTCTAGGAGTTGCGGCAATGTCTCCTCATGACAGGTACTTGGGACTCCCATCCGAGCTGCGCGGATATGGAGTTGGAAGACCAAGGCATTGTCTTTAGCGGCAAATGAAGTGGTTATCAAGGAGATTGGGGTATCAAGGCCTATCTATGCTATGTCGGCTTTCAGACTTCCACAAGAAACTTGTCAACGATGTAACAGCCAACTATCTAAGTTTTGGTGGGCGAGCCAAGATAAGGAGAATGGCATTCATTGGATCTCTTGGCCTGCAATCTGTTAGAGTAAGTTTGTGGGAAGGCTTGGTTTCCGGGATTTTAATCGTTTTAATGTTGCTTTGCTAGCTAAGCAGGCGTGGGGCATACTCTGCAATCCCTCCAGTTCTCTAGCCCAGATATATCAAGAAAGATATCATCCTCACCTGCTTTTTCTAGAGGCGTCGGCAGGCTCTCATCCTTCGTGGGTATGGCAAGGCATCCTGGCAGGGAGAGATCTTCTACGTCGGGGTCTAAGATAGCAAGTGGGAAACGGGTCTCGGTTTCGTACTGTAGAGGACAAGTGGCTCCCTTCTTCTCCTCTTTCTACTCCCGTTTTACGACCAGGTGTGAGTATTTTCCCTCCTTTTGTCTCGGATCTCATATGTCTTGTGTATCACTTTTGGAAGAAGGATCTCTTACTTTCCCTGTTTAATCAATAGAGTGTTGATCTCATCTTGTCCATCCCTCTCCCTATTACGACTTCGACTGATCGTTTGATTTGGAATTATTCTTCCTCTGGTCTTTACACTGTTAAGACAGGTTTTCATTGATGACTTGATATATACACATGTTTTTGCCCACCATTCTTGTACGGAAAGTCCACTAATCAAAACGCGGCGTTTCCATTCTCACACGGGCAAACTGGGAATCCACACAGCCGTGTGGTCGGGAAATTCTAGGTTTTTAACCCAAGTTTGAGCCAAAGGGATGGGTTCCGAGTTTTAGAGAGAAAAAGCGTATACCTAAAGAGAGAAAGTGATGACCTGATTCTTCAACTGCCTTAGATAGATCTCCATCACCATTGGAGCCCGGCTTGAGCTTGGAGAAGAGCTGATTGAGTGCCAGAAGCAGAATCTCATCCTTCACAGTATGGTTTCCGCATCTGAGCTAGATTTCTCATCTCTCTCTATGGAGTAACTTTCTTATTCACCTGGGTATGAAGAACCCTAGATTTGTATGTTAGGTTTGATTGTATAAACCCAACTACGAATTCAGTGATATGATTATATTCAATTGAGGTCTGATTTGTTGAATGGGATGAATCCTGATCAAATTCCTTTTATTTCTGCTTTAACCTAGAAAGAGAATATCTGCCTAGGTTGATAGAGCTCCCTTGATTGAAGGTAGTGAATTGACGACTTTAGTCGAGGAGTCAATTCACTATTCTGTACCGAATTACTTCGGTAGTGGAGGTTTGGTTCGTTAGGGACTCAATCTGTTTACTCCGGTGGAGGTTAGTCGCCCGCTGGGGATTCAGATTGAGAGGGTCTGTAGACCTTTAGTCGAGACTACAGACTATTTAAGAACCTCCCGCAGTATAACTATCGTTGAACTTGAATTTGTTAAATTACAATCTGACTTAACTGCAGTCTAGGGGAAACCATATCCGGGTGACCTCTCTCAACTTGAAAACAAACTTTAACTGCTTTGCTTGTTTGCTTGTTTGGACCTTCACTACACTTTCACTGCTAAATAATAAGAACTCACGGAGTAGTCATCACACTTAGGACCCGGGTTGACATTAAAACCCAAACCCGCTATACTACGCTTTAGGAGGTGGTTACACTTGGCCATTTTCTAGAGTGACGATAGGAGCGAGTCAATCATCTTTTGACTTCGATACAATCTTCGGCAGCCTCAGGGGGTGCTCCCTTTTGACACTCGTTTTTGGAAGTTTCTTTGGAGCATTCCTGTGCCTCCAAAGCTAAAGTTCTTTTTATGGCGAGCTGTCTGCGATTTCTTGCCCTTGCAGATAGTGTTGTTTACTAAAACTCTTGTGTCTGACACGATCTGTTCCATATGTTCTGGTGAACCAAAATCCTCTCCCCATTTTTTATTTAACTACAGGATAGCTCGAGGACTGTGGAGGTTGGCGGACCTTGAAGGCTTGAGCATTACTCTTGGTGGAATGAACCCTGATGAGGCCTGGCAAAATCTTTTCTTTTCTATGAATCTTTCGAAAACTGAGATAGCTCATATAGTTTTCATTCTTTGGAGAATCTGGAAGGGGAGATGTTGGGCGGTCCATGAGGGCACTCATTATCTCTCATTGGCTTTGTTTCAGCAGTATCAACGACAAGTGGACGAGTGGAGAGCGGTTGGGCAAAATCTTCTTATTAAGCCTTCTGTCGGTAATGATTATGCCTCTACTAACCCTTTACATGTTATCAGAGTCATTCCTACGACTTCAGGATCCGCGGTCGTTATCAACGTTTGGTTTGATGGTACTTCCAAGCGTGGTCAAGGAGGTAGTATTGGTTTTGTCGGCTTTCATGCAACAGGTAATAATCTGTTTGCTTTTGGAAAATTTTATGATGGGATCCAGGATCCATTTATCATGGAATTTTTAGCTCGACGTGATGCCTTACAGTGGTGTCTAACTCATTCCTTTCTTGTTGTTCATTTTCATGGGGACTCTCAACTCTTGATACGCTGGATGATTGGAGGCGATCTGCATCACGTTCGGGGTGACGCTATTATGGCGGGAAGCTAGGAGCTTGGCATTTTTTTCAGCAGTGTTTCTTACGGTTTTGTTTTCCGTCAACTCAATAGGGCTACCCATCATGTGGCACAAAAGGCCCTCTCATCGGGAGTTCGGCTATTGGTCGACTCCCTCGCTTTTCTTTCTTCCCATTTGTGACTCTGGATCATTGAGCTGACTTTGCTATAAAAAAAATAATCCACTTAGATTATTCAAAATAACACACCCAACCATTTCAATTAGGATGAATCAGTATTGTAGATGGTTAATTGCGTAACAGAATCTAAACTAATATTCCAATTTACATGATGTGTACATAATGATAATGTATATATATATAACCAAACAACTTTGTACTCGAGGTAATTGACTTAATATAAAGAAACAGCCTCTCATTTCGAAAAATATATTCAAATATAGTTCAAAATCTACCTTCATTTTCTTCTCATTTGAATTTAAGTTGTACCTTTTATTAGTTGAAGTATTTATGAAGCTATATCCATTAGTTGATCAATTTTGTGAGGTAACTGAAGTAATAATAATATTGAGCTAATTATTAAGGATACATAATTAAAATTATTATATTCTCAGTATTTCCCTTTACACTTGCCACTCCCTTTCGGTTCCTACTATTGAGGAACGTGTAGTTCTGTTAGCTACAAATCTTCTTTGTATCACTATATTAGTGCTTTGGAGATATCAATACAGATTATCTTCCTCCACAATCTCTCCTTTTGCAACATTCTTCCATGGTATCAAAGCTAGCCACGGTCAGCTAGATCCGATTCAATCCTTCCTCGTTCATACTCTGCCCTTGTTTATCACAATTATGTCGGCCTCCATCATTCCAGCCTCCAGACTGGCTACATCCAATGATGATCTAATCATCACCTTCAACCTTGCCGCACAACTTTCTCTGAAGCTCAATCCAACCAAATTTCACTCCTGGCGTTCACAGTTGGAAACGCTGCTGATGGGGATGGATCTTATCAGTTTCATTGACAGCACCGACATTGCCTTTCACCAACAATCACGGAGAACAACACCACCGAACCCAATCCTCTATATCGTCGCTGGTTTCTGACAAGACTAATACTCCACACCCTTCGTTGCTCAATTTCAGAATCTTTGTATTCTTATATCTCTAATGCCACCACGTCACGCGATGCATGGCTGATTCTTGAAAAATTGTATGTCGGTCGCTCTCAATCTCGTCTCATCAATCTCAAAGGCAAACTTGCAAAAACAATCAGGGGTGATCAAGATGTTCTTACATTTATTAATGATATGAAATTGATTGTTGTCGAACTTGCACTGATCGAAGCACCTGTATCGGATATGCATCTTGTGGTCCACTGTCTTCGTGGCGTTGGCGAAGAGTACAAGCACTTCACGGTTACCGTGCGTACCTGGGGGCACAAAAGTCACCATCGAAGAATTGATGGATTCTTTGATTGAATATGAGAGTGATCTGAAAGAACATACTAGGTTGTCTTTTGTTCCAACAGCCTTTTACTATTCCCTGTCACGCCGTGGCGGAGGCTATTCTTCCTCCCGTAGTGGCAATGACTGCCCACGACATCAGCAGAAGGGACAGGGATTTGGGCCTGATCACTTTAGCCATCAGCCTAGTCGATCTTCCTCTCCGTTCTTGCCCACTCCCTCTCTTGAGTCCACCCACCAACGCCAACCTCCCACCATTCGCCAATATTGCGAGCGCCTTGGTCACACTGTCCGCATGTGCTTCAAACTTTTCCCGCAGGCCTGCCAGGCCTTCACTCAATCCTGTCACTCTCAGGCCCACTCTACCCAGAAAACCTCTTACGGGCCTTGGTTAATGGATTCCGCCACATCTCAACATGTCACTGCCGACTTGGGTGACCTCTCTCTTTATTCAGACTACTCCGGCCCCGACAAAATTACAGTGGGAGATGGATCAGGTTTACAGATCTCTCATATTGGCTCTTCAACATTCTCTTTTGGATCTCATGACTTTCACTTACGTGCCATTTTGTGTGTTCCTAACATCAAGAAACACCTCGTATATGTTACTAAATTGTGTCAAACTAATCCTGTCTCTGTGGAATTTTTTTGCTACCCATTTTGTTGTGAAGGACCTTCGCACGGGGGCGCACTTGCTGAAGGGGGCAAACAACGGCGATGTCCATGAATTACCTCGTGAAGTGGAGAACATAAGACTTTCCCTCGTTACCACTCGCACCTCTGCTACGGCGTGGCATGCTCGACTTGGTCATCCCTCTCATTCATCCCTCACTAGTCTCATTCGATCGTTTTCTCTTCCCGTTTTCTCTTCCCTAGCAAACCATCCTTGTGATACATGTCTTTCCAATAAAAGTCATAAACTTCCATTTTCCATTTCATCATTATCTAGTACTCGTCCATTTGATCTCATGTACACAGATGTTTGGGGCCCTGCTCCAGTTGTTTCCATTGATGGTTATCGCTATTATTTGGTTATCATCGACCATTTCATTTGTTATACATGGTATTATCCTTTACGCCATAAATCTAATGTTATTCGCGTGTTTCTGGATTTTAGAAAAATGGTTGAAATTTTTTTCTCCGCTACTATTCGCCCTCTCTATACGGATGGTGGTGGTGGATTTCAAAAATTGCGATCCGATCTTCTAGCCAATGGCATCTCTCATCTGCTCACACCTCCTCTGTAACACTCCGACCTTTGGGTTTAGGTTCGACCTTAATACGTGTATGGTTGGATTAACGGTTACGTACGAAGGGGTGCAACCGTGAATTACATATAATAATAGTATAATTAAATTATTATTACTAAAGAAAAAAAAAAAACACTCGGGCCGAGAGGGCAGAGCGCACTCTCATTAACCTTTCTTTCCCCACCCTAATAATCCCTCCAACAACTTATTTCCCCCGCCGCCTGATTCTTTGGTCCCCGGCAACAACGTGCGAGGAGAAGGGAAAAAAACAAAAGAACAGCGCAACAGCCCTTTCCAATTCTCGGTCTCGCTCAACAGTAGTGGGATCGAGCCAACCAGTATTCCCAAGCATCCAAAAGGTAAGGACGATAATCCCAAATTATTTCCAAGTTTGTCTGAACAATCAAACTAACCCGAATCCATCAATCGTTAATCATAGCTTAACGGCAAGGAATCAGGGTTTAATTGGTAGCCAATCTGGGAAATCGACGTCCAAGGCCATCGAATCTGAACCTAGGCACGTTCTAGAGGTAAGAAAACTCGATCCCTTTGAGTTAGGTCGATTGATTTGGTTATTTTTCGTGAGGGTACAATTTTGGGTTTTTAGCAACAGGCGTTACAGGCTTTTAGTGACAGATTTTGTTTGGTCACTAAATCTGCTGGGAATTTCTCGAAACGTATTTTTAGATGTTTTAAATTGTTTCGAGCCTCTCTGAAGGCTGTTTTCTGAATTTAACAATTTTATAAATTGAGCAACGTCTAGGAGATGATTTTAATTTAATTTGGAGATTTTTGAAGATGTATTTCTATTTTTAGAAATTGTTCGAGTATTTTGTTTAATTAAATAAAAATCTTTCCGAGGGGTTTTTAAGGGTTTGATAATCTTCCAGGGTATAGGGGCTCATGATTGACATGGGAAAATTATTGTCCAAAATTATAAGAAGGTTCAAGTTAGGTGATAAAAATAATTAAGAAAAATGGTCGTTTTTTAAGGGATTAATTCTAGAAAGTTTTAATGGGGATTAAAGGATCCTTGGAATGAGGTTCAAGGACTGGAGTTTGAGGAGAGGATGTCCTAGTGATTCAAATTAATAGGTTTCCCCAAGATAATCCGGCTAAGGAGGGGTTTCTTCGAAGAAGGAATTAAGGAGTCATCTTTTCGAGGTGAGTGTAAAGGGGGTAAAATCTCTGTCGTGGGTCTTTTAGTTTCCGTTTTTCGTTCAAGTTGTTATTTAGTTAATTTTTCCAGTATGCGCGATATGTGTGTGAGGCATCCCACCGCCTGTAAGGGTGGTGGCTCGCGTTGTGCTATGTATGAATGTATGTGATGTTGTATGGATTGATGGTATAAGGAACCCCCGGGCGGTCGGGTCACTACTGGACGGCGAGACGTAACGCAGTAGTTGACGGGCATGGACTGGACGGCAAGACGTAACGCAGTGCCATTGCCGAGTTTGGGTATGCAACAGGACGCCGAGACGTAACGCGGTTGGCATACTAGGGTAGGACACCGGACGGCGAGACGTAACGCGGTGGTCCTAGTGTTTTGTGTTTGAGTTAAGGATAGAAGGCGAGCACTCTTAGGAGTTAATGTTGAAATGAGTTTATAAGAATGGTTATTTAAGAGCAGAAAGCGAGAACGACTTTCATGCGAGGAAGCAAACTCTAATAATGTGTTTAGGAGGAAGTTTGCCTAGGGCAAAGACCTTAGGAAGTAACGACGAGACTGACCCCTTCTCACTCACCAGGTGCATAGAGGGGAAGAGGACGCATCCATCAAGAGGAGATTACCCGAGGAGAGCAGTCGCGGCTAACCTGAAGATGTCAACTGGATCTGGGTAACGAGATGGGACCTCCCATTATATTTGTTAGTTTCATGTCTTAATGATTATGCTGGGGAAACTCAAGGGTTGTTTTTATGTTTTGTTGTTCTGGGTTGAGGTCGCCCAAGTGTTTAGAGCATTGCACTTGAAAATCTTAAACATTGTGGTTGTTGTTTTTGGTTGACTTGTAAACCTGGTTTGGGTTGCTCCTGAGTAACCGGTTTGTGGTTTGAGTTGTGGTTTGGTTTTCAAAAAGAGCGGGTTGTGTCATCCTCCTACACCGGAACATAATGGCATTGCCGAAAGAAAACATCGCCACCTCGTCGAAACCGACATTACTCTCCTTCATCACGCCAAGCTCCCTACCATTTTTTGCTCATTTTCCTTCTCCACTGCTTCATACCTCATCAACTGCATGCCTTCATCCGCTCTGCGTGGTAAAATCCCATACACCACTCTCTTTAATTTACTCCCCAATTATCTCAAACTGCGTGTGTTCGGTTGTCTCTCTTACCCTTGGATACGTCCGTACACCTCCGATAAACTCGAACCTCGCTCTCCCCTGTCACTTTCTTGGTTATTTCCCCCAGCGTAGTGCATATAGTTGTTTGTACTCTACCACTCATCGTATTTATTTATCTCGACATGTTGTATTTCTTGAGACTCAATTTCCAGGTTTCCTCACCACTGATCCTACCGACCCCTCCCCCCCCCCCCCCCCCCCCCCCTTCACTGGATCATGAATCCGTGATTTCCCCCCCCCCCCCTCCCTTCACGACTCCTACTGCTTCACCACCAGCTGCTCCCCCCTCTACGGTCGCGTCTCCTAGGTTGGATCCCTCCTCAACTTGGTCTACATCATCCGCTCGACCCACTGTCCCATCGGCTCCGCCAGACCCTTTCACCCCGCCATCTGGGCCTGCCCCTCCATCTAGCCCGCCGCATCTTCCTCAGCGCTCCACTCAATGCGCAGCAGGGCCCAGGCCGGAATTTTTCAGCCCAAGATAAGAGAGTCTCCCATGCGGCTCTCTCACCTCGGCCGCCCCCATTGCAACCAAAAAACGTGGCTGAGGCACTGTGCTACAAAGAGTGGGCCGATGCACTCTCTGCCGAGAATCAGGCATTATTGGCCAATTCCACCTAGGATCTTGTCCCGCGTCTACCCCGTTATAATGTTGTGAGAAACCGCTGGTTATTTCAGATCAAGCATCATCTTGTCGGGTCTATTGAGCATTTCAAAACTCGTTTGGTTGCCAAGGGCTTTCATCAACGACCTGGTCTTGATTTCACTGATACATTTAGTCATGTGTTCACCTGTAACTGTTCGCACGGTGTTCACCCTGACTCTCTCTCACGGGTGGTCCATACTTTAGTTTAAAGATAATAATGCTTTTCTCCAGGGTCCTTTGCAAGAAGAAGTTTATATGGAACATCCACCTGTTTTGCTCACCCTGAGCATCCCACGCATGTCTGTCACCTACGTTGAGCAATTTATGGACTTTGTCAGGCACCCCGCGTTTGGTATACTGCCTTGAGCTCCTATATTCTTGAATTTGGCTTCCTGAAGACTCGCTGTGATGCTTCTTTGTTCGTCTACTCCCGCGGCACTACTCTCTTATGTTTTTTGGTGTATGTTGACGACTTGTTACTCACTGACAATGATCCTACTACACTCACGACCTTTCAAGATTCTCTCGCTAACCGTTTCTCACTCAAGGCACTTGGGGAGTCAATTACTTTCTCGGCATCGAGGTCGTTCCAACTTCCACCGGCTATATCTTATCTCAACATAAATATATGGTTGATGTGCTCCACCCGTTCTCTATGATCAATGCCAAGCCGGCTGACACCTCTCCACTATCTCTTACTGCCTTTGCCGACTCGAACTAGGCCGACAACCTCGAGGATCGCTCCTCCACTTCAGGCTATCTTGTTTACCTTGGCGATACTCTCATTTCCTGGTGGTCTCAAAAACAGCGAACTATGGCCCGGTCTACTACTGAAGCTGAGTATCGTGTCATTGCTCATGCCACTGTGAAATCGGAGTGGATTCAGAATCTTCTCCTTGAGCTCCGCCATCCTCTTCGAACACCTCCGACCATTCATTCCGACAATCTTGGAGCCACATATTTCAGCGCCAATCCATTCTTTCACTCCCGTATGAAGCACCTCGCCTTGGACTATCATTTTGTTCATCAGCTTGTCCAGGACGGCCGGCTACGCGTCACCTATATTCCCACGTCTCACCAGCTTGCCAATGCTCTCACCAAGCCGCTTCCAGCTACGCGTTATCTCCTCCTCCGATCCAAGATTGGCGTTGTTGCGATACCTCCTCCATCTTGCGGGGGCATATTAAGGATACATAATTAAAACTATTTTATTCTCATTATTCCCCTGTACACTTGCCAGTCCCTTTCAGTTCCTACTATTGAGGAACGTGTAGTTGGGTTAGCTACAAATCCTCCTTGGATCACTATATTAGTTCATTGGATATATCAATACAAATACGATTATCTTCCTCCACAATCTCTCCTTTTGCAACATTCTTTCACTAATGACTGAGCATGAATTATTCATGAGGGACTGAGTTGATATATAGCACGTTCTGGGAGATGCTACTGTTGCAAGTGGGGATGTTGGTGAGGCTCGGTGGTGGGGGGGGGGGGGGGGGGGGGGGGGGAGGAAGAGGCGAGTGGGCTTGGGTTAAATCGTATTGAGAGCATAGAGTGAAATGAAACATAATATACAGGGAGAAGAAATGAGTGGGCTTTAGCCCATCTGCCAGTCGTCGTCAAAAAGGGGGAGTGACAGCTCGCCGACGCATAGTCGCATACTAATGCAGAGGAAGGGGGGAAGATAGAACGCATGGGTTTCTTTCTCTAAAGTTGACTGCAATCCGTAACAAAAAAAAAGGGTTAAAGGGAGCAAAATGATATTTTAGCTACTATTTAGAATAGTTAAACTAATGTTTTTTAATTTATAATGTACATATTTGTTCATGATAATTCGATACAAAAATCCGATAAATTTCGAGCAATTTTCGAGATGCCTTTTATTTTTATTGTTAAAATAATTAGTTAATCAATTCAATTGATGATTCACATTTTTTTTTGTTAGTTCACCGCTCACGTCCATCGACCTACTATGGTTCTCGAAGCGGTTGTAGGTTACAATATTTGGATATGACATGCCTTGTTTGGCACTGCAGGTTCCATGAACGATTGTCAACATTCTCGGTAAATCTCTCGTATTTGATCATACAGTGAATGATTCAACAGCACAGCTGAGATTTAAGATAAATATCAAATGACAGAATACATGTTATTATCTAGCTGATAGTAACTATCCTTCATGTCTACATTGGTAAAGACAACTGCTAATCAAGGAGTGGCCATCCGATTTGGGTTCAACTCTGTAAACCGAAGTCAAACCGATCAACACCGATTTGACACTAATCAGTTGGAATTGGAAAGACAAAAGCTCATATTTTGGAAAGCAGGATATGCACGACCGAACCAGAATTCCAATCAATCGAACCGAGAAAGCCAACTAAAATAATCAAAACCATATATTAAGTTGAGTCCACTCTCTAACGGTCCAACTGATCGCTGCCAGCCCATCCCTCCTCCTCAACCTAATTGCACCGCCGGCGCCGACTACCATCATCGATCCCACTTCCACCCTTCACTCCAGGAAACCAATCATTCCTTGTCGCAATAATTAACCGAGAAAAAACGACAAAATACCTAAAAACAAAAATCACACTGTTGGGCTTCTGGAGATCCAAATGACCCAATTTTCTATGAATATCTTATCCACAGTCCACCCATATGGCCATATGCAATAATGCATGCATTATTGAGGTCTAATTATTGAGGTCATTAACTTCTCTTAAAAATAATAGACGTATGTGGCAAGTCGGTGCAGCGCAATTGACATAATGACATATGTTTGTGTGATAGAGCTTCGCTTTTAAGAACATCAGTGCAAACATTTCTTATTTATACACAAGGTAACTTCTTTTTTTTTTTTAACATGGTTTCGCGCTCAGAAAGACATATTTGTATTTGTAGGTTTATATGTACTTTCAGAAACCTATCCATATATTGATGATCGACTTTCCTATAGCATACTAAAAAAAATTCTATGTTGTATTAATATTACTCGATAATTGTCCCTCCGAGTACATCTGGTATTACTAGATAATTGGTCCACATTTCACAACAATTTATCAAAAAAAAAAATATATTAATTAGAAATAAATAATACTCTCGTTTTAAATGAAGGTGATATTATTAGGGAAAGAAATAATTTTTCAATAAATGTTAAGTTTTTAGTTTCTATCATATCATACTTCTTAAACAACTACAGGACTTTATATATGGTAATGAGATTTTGTGATATTTCTTGTAATAAATAAAAGTTTATTATATAGGTGCAGCAATAAGCTTTTAATAGGCTTAGCTGTTTTTTTTTTTTTTTTGTTCTTTTTTATTTTGGCTGAAAAGAATCGTAATAAAAAGAATTGCTGAAAATTTTGTTACAAAATTGACAAAGGAACTAGTGATTATTACTATTAGTAGTAATGCCGTGTGCTCTATCCAACTGCCAAATCTTTACGAATATTATAAGACTATAAAATAACATCCCTCTTTTGACACTATTATGGAACAAGTACCCGCAAAAGCAAAATCATATGTGATTTATACACTGTCAGGACGATACAATTGTATAAATACTTACATTAATTTTGAACATATTTTCATAACAAAAGTCATTATTTCATCACATTTGTAGAATAAAAAGCAAGCGAAGTTAGAATTTCATGCACGAATAAAAAATTTTATAGAGTAATAAAATACAAAAAATAAATGCGTAGAAAAATTTTCTGCCGGTAGAAGAACAATCACTCTGTAATCTTTTTATCCATGCGTCAAGCCTTCAACCCTTGCACTAACTTCTACTCTGGATATCTCTAATTAAATACGTTGATTTCACCAGCAATAATTTTATCCCGTTGACGTGCTACTAAAAGTGAGAACTTAGTGAAAGCGATTGATCATTTTCTCCAAATCACGGTGACTTATAAATCAACTTTTATTACTCTGCACTACTCAGTCATATCCACACCACTGTTTTTGTCGTAGTAAAAAAAAAACAAATCAAAAAAAAAAATTGTTCCAAATTTGAGAAAAGGAACTGCTTATTATCACTATTACTAGTAATTCTTATATATACTCGTACCCGACTCTGCCAAGATCGTGTCTATGAAACTAAAAGCCTCCTCTTCTAGCCTGCACCATCTATCTTTCTACTCACCAGCAGTAAGCGATGGCCACACTAGTTGCCGGACTGCCGCAGTACGTGGTCCTCAAATCAAAGAGACTCAACATCTACATGCACTACATGTGGAACGACGACGAGTTCGGTGACTTCTACGAGTTCATCGGCACCAAACGGGCCTTGGATCCGGTGAACCCGTTCGTCAAGCTCGAAGTCGTCCCTTCCACCACCAACCCGTCCTTCGTCCACCTCCGCTGCTCTTACAACAACAAGTTCTTCCGTCTTGTCCAAAGGTACGTACGTTTCTATATTAATCCGCGACTTTTGTAATCCATTTTCTCCTACGTTTCCATATTCATTCGTTGAAAAAAAAGGGAAACAGGTTGGGAGTGTGGGGATTAATTCCCTAAATACACATAAAACTAAAGCAAATTCCTAAACTACCACACTTTTAAAAAAATTTCCCAAAATACCTAAGTTTGGAGTGGTTCGAGTTTGAGAAACTCGAACTACTAACCGGTTCGAGTGTAGGAGACTCGATCTACGAGTAGATCGATGATATAAGTCTCGAACCATGTGGGGTTGAAGTGGTTCGAGTTCAGTGAACTCGAACCACTCCTTTCAAATTTCCAACCACCTTAACTTTGTGCTCGGTTATCCGATCGTAGCAAACTTTTTTTTCATTTCGCATAACTTTTCAAGGGCTACAACTTTTATAATAGAAATATTTTCAGAATTTATGTGAAAATGTGAAAATTAAAGTTAAAGTTACACCCAAAACCCTTTATATTAAAAACTATTCCTATTTTGAAAATTTATTCCTAGTAAATGTTGTAGTACTCAAAAAGTTATGCAAAATAAAAAAAAACTTTGCGACGTTCGGATTGCGGAGCACAAAGTTATGATCCTCCAAAGTTTGACAAATTCGAAAATTTGCTCGTTTATGGGTAGCAAATGACGTTTACGAGGAAAATAGCCATCCAAAAATTTCTCGTTTGGAAAACTATTGCTCTTTTTGCAGAAATTTCCTACATATAAAAAAATTTCATGTGCCTTCGCTCCGAGAAAATGTCATTTGTAACTTCTAAACGAGCAATTTTTCGATTTTGTCAAACTTTGGAGGATCATAACTTTGTGCTCCGCAATCCGAACATCGCAAAGTTTTTTTTTTATTTTGCATAACTTTTTGAGTACTACAACATTTACTAGGAATAAATTTTCAAAATAGGAATAGTTTTTAATATAAGGGGTTTTGGGAGTATCTTTAACTTTAATTTTCAAATTTTCACATATATTCTGAAAATATTTCTATTATAAAAGTTGTAGTCCTCGAAAAGTTATGCGAAATGAAAAAAAAGTTTGCTACGATCGGATAACCGAGCACAAAGTTAAGGTGGTTGGAAATTTCAAAGGAGTGGTTCGAGTTCACTGAACTCGAACCACTTCAACCCCACATGGTTCGAGCCTTATATCATCGATCTACGAGTAGATCGAGTCTCCTACACTCGAACCGGTTAGTAGTTCGAGTTTCTCAAACTCGAACCACTCCAAACTTAGGTATTTTGGGAAAATTTTTTAAAAGTGTGGTAGTTTAGGAATTTGTTTTAGTTTTATGAGTATTTAGGGAATTAATCCGGAGTGTGGATGGTCACCGCCACGGCGGACAACCCCAACGAGCAGGGGCGGAGCTAGCTTAGTCATCGGGGAGGCCCCGGCCCCCCTGAGAATTTTGGAGTTCACGCATAAACGGTTGGGTATTTTACGTATAAATATTAAAACCTATATAAATAAGTTGAGAGTGCACAAAAATAGCGAACCAGCTTACTTAGTCTAGCGGTGTAAGAGTCCTTAAACAAGGTAGAGATTCTGTGTTCGATACCTTGTGCTAGCTAGTAGCAACAACATTTTTTTGGAGCATAAGCACTTTTTGTACTTTATTTCATATAAAAGTTTTTATTTAACATATTTCTTAACTGTTCTGTCTTTTGAATTATTTTAATTTTTTAAACTAACTAGAGTTTCAGTTTTCATTTGACAAAACAAGTAAATTAAATAATTTACTTTCATTTTTAGTTTGTTAAGTCCTTAAATTCCAATTAGAACAAAATTCTTCAATTTGAAGGATTGTTTTCTAATAAAAGATAATTATTTCAATACTAATTTTTGACAGACATCAATTTTTTAGTTATGAAAATATAATTTTCTATACAATATTAACATTCATTGTTACCTTTTTATAGCTTTGTAATTTGTATTGAACTGAATGTGAAAACATTGTTAGTATAACTTCTATTTTGAATTATCTTAATAATGTCAAACAAGATCTTGTGCAATTATAGAATTATAAAATTTAACAATTTTAAAATTATAATGTCATACAAATAAAATAAGAATTTTTAATATCTAAGATTTTTTATATGATTAGTATAATATAATTTTTAAACTTTTTTAGATTTTTTGCGATAACATAGTAAGAAAAGCTCGGCCCCCCCGAGCCTCAAATCCTGGCTCCGCCCCTGCCAACGAGGACACCTCCGTGGTCGGCGAGTGCACGCTCTTCGAGCCGGTCTTCCCTTCCGACCAGCCCGACACCGTGTGGTTCCGCTACGTGGCGAACCAGTGCCGTCTCTTCTGGTTCAACAACCCGGACTTTCCGGACGAGTACGGGCTGTCCATCGTCTACTCCCAAGAGGAGCGCTTCACCACGTACTACGACTACGCGCCGTGGGAGTCGTACGAGGACAAGATGTGGGCGCAAGACGCGGTGATTCAGGCGCGTGACGTGGAGGTCCGGAGGCTGGCTGCCGAGGTGGCTGCCAACGGAGAGGAGATAAAGACGCTGCGAGGCCAGCTGGCGGACAGGGACGGCGAGATCGTGAAGCTGAAGGGCCAGGTGGCGTCTTGGGAGGCGTACGTGGAGAAGAGGAAGGTTAAACTGGAGGACGGGATGGTGACTCTGCAGTCCGCCGTGGCGGCGGCGTGGGAGGCGTTCCAGGACAACGTCAGCGCCGGGATTGGGAAGATTAAAGGTGGTCTTGGAAGGTTCGGTAAGGTACTTAAACTGCGAAAGGTACATCATGGTGATGACCGTATGTTACGTACCATATGAGTGCTTAAAATTACCGACCGCGCGCCTGTGAAATTAGTGTCGGTACGGGTATATCACTGAGGAAGGGACGATTGTGAAATTAGTACAGGGTTTCTATTAAAAAATGTCTGTGTAATTTTGGTTTCCTACAATAAAAATTTGTGTGTATGTAGGGCCTGCCTCGCCAGTAAGTTGGTGAGAAGAATAATTAGGGGTCATTTGGATGCGAAAATTTAATGCCGTAATTGGACCCAAATTCCACATATTGCAGTAATTGGAACCAAATTCCATGTTTGGCTGGACATGGAGCATGCGGAAATTGACCCGCCGGAATTGGGAACAAATACTACGATCGCCGGTTTTGGAAATACAACTCCCACCCATGTATTTGTCAATTCCCACGTTATTGGGTTTTTCCTTCCCAATCTAACCCTGGCCACACGAGAACCTTCTTCCACTTATCTCTCCCTCTTCTTCGTGCTCTCATACTGCCGCCATCAAAACCTTATTTCCTTTCTCCATCTTTTGTTCCTCTTTCTATTATTCATCTCCCAATACTGCAATCAAATCGAAATGAGGTCCAAGAAAAGAAGAACGATGGAGGCCATGTGTTGTGCATATCTATTATGTATTTTATTAATTCAATAATGATTGGTTTTTACAATTTGAGGATTGAATACGAGAATTAGTGATTTCCCTATTTGCTATATGTGTGTTAGTTATATGCAACTATGTAAAGGTCATTTTAATTGCAAATTCACATAGAAAGGGGTAAATTGGTATTTTAACCAAATACCACACCATCAATTTCAACATTCTTTGACCCATCCCAAACATGGAATTTCGGACAATTTCCACTTGACAATTACTAGGTTTCTATAATGTGGAAATTAAGGTTAATTCCCACGCTTTTAGATTTCCACATCCAAACGACCTCTAAAGACAATTTGCTTGAGAGATCGATGGATACTGATAAGGCATTCATGTAATACTAAAATTCAGAGTTAAAAAAAAAAGGTGCGTTTAACCATGATTAGGCGAGACGACGAGTACTCTGGAACATTTTGTTTGAGATTTTTATAGCAAGTTAGACATCCTATATGTGATGGCGAAGTAAGAGGACACTTATACATAATTAGGTTGATATCTAATTTTTTTATCTCAATCTTTTCAATAACTCAACAAGTTTACAAGCTATTGAAATATGATTCTATAAAATTGTGAACTATGATTCAATGCATTGGTGATCAATTAATACAATGCATTAATTAGTCACATGCAATAGAGAACGGAAGAAAATAAATAATTGAATTTATTCATCAAATCCAAAAATAGTTGCATCCTAATCGTGTTTCCCCGAAATTGTGTTTTAATTACATTTAAAAGTATATCCCATTATCAAAGAATTGACAAGCAAGGGGAGTTTTTTCTCTCGTTTAGTGAGAGACTCGGATCTAGGGTTCCGGTGATTCTTTTACACTCTCTTTGGGAAGAGGTGCAAATGGAGGGAGGTGCATATTAGCTGGGGTAAATGCAATTCCCAAGACAAATGCACCTATTTGGTTAAAATGAAACAATAGTAGGGGTGTGTTAATGAGGTGCATTTCTACTGTTCTAGTTGCCCCCCCCCCCCCCCCCCCCCCCCCAAATCCGGGTGCAAAGGAGAAGAACAAACTGCTGGCAGAGAGGAGAGTGGATGGTGGGGCCAGAAAAGAGAGAGGGAGGGAAGAAACGTGTGAGAAAAGAGAGAGGGAAGGGGTGGTGGGGTCAGGGAAGAATGGGAAAAGAAGGAAGAGGGAAGATGGGGTGGGGTAGAGTAGGGTTATTTTTTGTTTTTTTAATATTAATAATTACTATTATATTAAAAAGTTAAATTTTAAAATTATTTTGCACCCCCTACTTTTTCTCCCAAACAACAATTTACTCCTCCATTTGCACCCGCCTTAAATTTGCTCCCTCCTACAATTTGCACCCCAATTTGCACCCTCCTCAAATTTGTACCCCACTCGTTGCCAAACAGAGCGTTAGGTTTTTCTTCCAAACCCTGGGTTTGGAGCTAGATATGAAAGTCCTACATAGTTCTCAGTTGATTGATAGGTAGAGCTGTGTTTAGCTAGCTTTAATCCTAAATCTGCCTCCTGCGTTTTAGGATAGTGAGTGAGTGTTTCCTAGGAGCTTCATATTAAAGTTTCTGAGGTCTCGTGTGTTTCCTGAAACCCTACCTGCCTCATGCAGTTCAGAGTGAGGGAGAGATTCTATGAATTTTGTGAACTGATAAGCAATAAGCAAGTCTGATCAGTTATAAAAACAAACATCATTGATATGGACGGACAATCAATAGAGGAAGACACAAATACGACTGAGTTGAATCAGATCCCTCGACAGGACATTGATGCAGCAATGGTTCAAGCTGTCTGCCTTATGGGACTGGTTGGGATATTGGTGACGCAAAAGAAACCAAACCTGAAATCAATGAAGACAGCACTGTCAAAGGCATGGAAACTGAATTAGAATTTTCAGGTAACAGAAGTGAGTGAACAACTTTTCAGATTTCAATTCTTAAAAAGAAAAGATCGAGACAAGGTTCTTTTGGAGGATCGTGGAATTATGAGAATAGTTTACTCATCTTCACGCAAGCAGATGCTTTCCAGAACCGAAAACCAGAGGAATTCTTTACGATGGAGATATGGATGCAAATCTATAACCTGCCAGCTACGCTAAGAACAATTGAGATTATACACAAAATCATAGCTCGATTTGGACCGATGATATGGGTTGATAGAAGAAGGGACAATAGATGGGATGATGTGCTAATAATAAAGGTGGGGAAGGACATAAGAAATCCCTGCAGTAGGAACTGAAACTCAATCTAAAAGGGAAGGTGCATAGCTATGAAGTCAAGTATGAAAAACTTTCAATTGATTGCTTCTCATGTGGATTAGTGGGCCACCCCAAGCTACATTGTCCCCAACCAGATGCTTTCCAGAACCGAAAACCAGAGGAATTCTTTACGATGGAGATATGGATGCAAATCTATAACCTGCCAGCTACGCTAAGAACAATTGAGATTATACACAAAATCATAGCTCGATTTGGACCGATGATATGGGTTGATAGAAGAAGGGACAATAGATGGGATGATGTGCTAATAATAAAGGTGGGGAAGGACATAAGAAATCCCTGCAGTAGGAACTGAAACTCAATCTAAAAGGGAAGGTGCATAGCTATGAAGTCAAGTATGAAAAACTTTCAATTGATTGCTTCTCATGTGGATTAGTGGGCCACCCCAAGCTACATTGTCCCCAACCATCACCAGATGGCAAGGATTTGGTAAGTCCTGAACTACCGGTTGGTTTAGCTAAGGATAGATTATGGGAAAGCAAGCTGGAAAGAGAAGAATTAGAGGACATATTGCATGTTTAGGTTTAAGAGCTAAATTTGACAGGGAGGCGATGACAACAAAGAGAGAAATAGAAGATGTTGAATACAGAGAAAGAATATCAAAAAGGAAGCATTGACGAATTACTGAGAGAAGAATTGATACAGAAGGCCATCACAGAAAATGCTAAAGAACAACATCATAAATTAATCCCCAAGGGACACAAAAAAGAACCATGGAAAGGCTCAGGAGAGGTAATATGAAGTAACTTAAAGGTGTATCTCCTAACAAAAAATCGGATGGCGGTGAGGCGAACTTTGCTCAGCAAGGCCGTCCAGTCCAATGAGTTTAATTAGCTATAACTGTTGTGGGCTGGGGAGAACCACAACAGTTAGCAGAGTTGCTAAGCGACTCGAAGAAATAGACCCCAACATAGTCTTTCTCATGAAGACTAAGAGAAAAAGAGCATGAATGGGAACAAACTATGATGAATTTGGGATGGACAAAAGGAAGAGGTGTGTGATCAACCAGAAGAGCTAGAGGGCTACTATTGATGTGGAAAGAAGAACTGAAGGTACAGGTACGAAAGCGGAACCAAACTGTATTGATGTGATTGTTGAAGGGGAAGCGGGTGACACGGACTAGAGGCTTACAAGTATGTATGGATGGCATGAACAGGAGAACAAAAATAACTTGGGAATTAATGAGAAGATTAAGCTCCCACCAATCCGTGCCTTGGGTTATTTGTGCTGAATTCAAACAAGTGTTGGGATATGAGGAAAAAATGGTTCAAGACCACCTGACATACAGAAATATGGAGGCATTCCGTGAAGCCATGAATATTTGTGGGATGCAAGATCAAAATATCATGGTAATAATGTCTTTACTTGGGACAATGGAAGAGAGGATGAAAGCTTATTGAGGAACGTTTGGACAAAATGATGGCATATGGAGACTGGAAGGCCATATTTCCTTTCGCAAAAGTAAACCACCTGGATAGGTGGGTATTTGATCACCTTCCTATTCAGTCGGAACTCAACCTAGAAGAAAAGAATGTGAGATGACACTAGCATTTCAGATTTGAGTCGTAAGGGCAGAAACATGTAGATTCTAGTCTGCTTATACAAGAGGAATGGACTAAACGGATACATAGCTTAGTAGAGGAAAGAATAAAAGGGTTGTGAAAAATCCCATCTAAAGTGAGGCCAAGGTTGCGGACTATGTTGACGAAGAAGGGAGCTGGCTCATCAATAAGTTCAACTCCCTCCTCTCGCCTGAAGTGCAGCAATGCATCACAGCTATTGCAGTGGACCCCCTAGCTACCGAAGAAGACGCTCTGTTTTGGCAACCATCTTCGGACGGGCGTTTCACTGTCATGAGCGCCTACCGTCTGATTAATCAGACAACAGCAACACCTTCTCATAAGGTCTGGAAGACGATTTGGAAGCTGCCCATCCCGGAACGTATTCGATGCTTTGCTTGCCTCGTGATGCTGGGAAGAATAAGCACCAACTCTCTATGCCATCATCGACAAATCACTGAGTCGGCAGACTGCTAAAAATGCCCAAATCAACCAGAGACTCTATCACATATCTTTAGAGATTGCCCGGCAGCAGCTTTCTTCTGGAGTAGAACAGTGAAGACGGAAGATCAACTCACATTCTTTAGCTCCCCAACTGTTGATTGGTTGAAGACAAACCTCTCCGACGAGGAATCCATGAGTATGGGAATGCCCTGGAACGACTTCTTCGCCATTGCCCTTTGGCTGATTTGGAAGAACAGGAACGAGGGTTGCTTCCAAGGGGTCTCCAAGACCCTTCCCCCCCCCCCCCCCCCCTCACCCAAGAGATCAAGATTAAGGCTAAGATGTGGTTCGAGGCTTGGAGCTCGCCGCATTTCGAGATCGGCAATATTAACAACGTGTAGCAACGAGTCACGCCAGAGATAGGGTGGTCTCTGCCGCCCCCAGGCTGGGTCAAATTAAATATCTATGGGGCGCCAGCAGGTAACCCAGGGAAGGATGGCGCGGGAGGGGTGCTCCGCGACGATGACGGTCGGTGGGTTAGTGGTTTCGTATCTAGCTTGGGCACTTGCACAGCAGCGGCAATGGAGTTTGGGGTTTGTATCATGGTCTCCAAGTTGCCTGGAGAAGTGGTCACAGAACTATCTTGGTGGAAACAGATTAACGTCTCGCTTTGGACCTGGTGAACAACAGATCAGACTCCCTCCATCGCTACTCGACCCTTCTAGCTGTTATTAGAAGATTGATTGCTCAGGATTGGGTGGTAAGGCTAGCACATACATACCGAGAAGGGAATAGAGTTGCGGACTGACTCTCGAAGCACGTCTCGTCTATCCCTACGGTATGTACGAGCTGCCCTCACCGCCCAAGGGAACAACCTCGCTTATTTTGGATGATGCTAGAGGAGTAACTTCCACTAGGCGTATCATTCCCTCTGCCCCGCTCACCTCTACCTCCCTGTAATTTTTATTCTTCTTTGGCCTTTGTGCCTCCCTGTCAAGCAAAAAAAAAAACGTATGTCGGTAGTTTCAGCGTCTGGATTCAGTTTAGTGGCTTGGTCGGTGCTTGGTGATCATTATCCTGTAATTTCACTTATAAATAAACTTTTCAGATTATTTCCCGCTCAACTCTGTTGTCCCTTTCTTTCCTTTTTCACTAGCTAGTAGAATATGTTGCCTAGTTTTCAAGTGCTAATGATTCTCGTCCTGATTGTTGCATTTAAGATTGAGAGTGCAATAAGAGGTTGCTAAACCACACCACAGGAGATTCTGAATTTTGTTACATTGAATGACACCATGAAGACCCAATTATTCTCGACATGATATCAGAAAACACCGTGAAGAATTTGATCGCCGGCTCCCTCCCTGTCGTTGATTTTGTAGATAATAATAATAGGATATTTGAATTCCAACAAACACAAAATTGCAGAATGCAATCTAACAGTGCAAACTAGAAAAACGTAATGTAAGAAGAACCATTTTTGAAACTCAAATAGTGGCTAAGATTTTGTGCTTCAGATCCACTTTCTCATTTAAATCCAAGGTTGTTCTCTTACATGATATCAAAATGAAGAGACATTAGACTTTTAAAGGCTCAAACTCAAACCCTAGTTTGATCTGCTACCTCCAAAACTTAGAAGACAAAAACATTAAACTAAACCAAGTACAAGGGTGACTTTCAGTGTTCCACAAAGCAAAAACAGGAAGAGGCATTGGCAAAGATGCCCTTCAATGTGGTCCCACTTCTTCCTTGGCTTCACTCCAAAGCTAAGAGATGTCCGAAGCACCTTCCAGCTGGATCAGTCTTCATCTACATCTTGTTCCAGCTAGCTTCCTCTGTTTTCCCTATTCCTTCAGCACCAAACTTCATTTCTTGTGCTGCAAGACACATGTAGCTTGAGAGGAAACCAAAAGATGATGAGTTGCAACACTCATCCTTGCCTATGCAACTGACCATCCCAATAATGTTCTTCATTTCTTCAAACCTTGGTTTGCTCAGTGACTTGGTAAAAATGTCAGCAAACTGATCTTGTGTTGAGTAGTATTTCATAGCAATCAATCCTTCTGATTCAGCCTCTCTAAGCACATGATACTTGATCTTGATGTGCTTAGTTCTCCATAGAAAACTGGATTTTCAGCCATAGCCACAACAGATTGATTATCACCCCAAATGGCAGTTAGTTTAGTTTGCTCAAAACCCAAATCTGTCATGATTTTTCTCAACCAAACAACATGGTTGACAGCTTTTGAACCAGCAATGTACTCAGCTTCAGTAGTTAGCCGAGCTACAATGCTTTGTTTCTTACAGCAAAAGACTGTTGATCCAGTGAAAAGGCAAAATCAGAGGTTCTTTTCATGTCTTCAGAAGATACTGCCCTATCACTGTCACAAACACCTTTCAAACACACTTCTTTACCACCTTCAAACTTTAATCCGAGATCAGTGGTACCTTTGAAGGCTTTACGGGTGACTTAAAGGAATTCCACTCTACTAAAACACTCATATATGATAATCGGATTTTGTGTAACTAGGAAAATGGTGCTGATGAACATATCCAAACCGCTAATCTAAATTTAGACTAAAACTTCTAGCCCTAATCATTTTTATCTGAAAAAAAAAGACATTAAAACCTAAAAGACTGAAAGTATAGTTTCATTAAAATAAAATAAAAAACGTCTAAACTAAAGATCACCCTTACTTGCAAAACAAGAACATGGAGACGAACGGACTGATGACTCGATATTTGCACATGTTTTTCCCTCTGCTTCTTGATCGTTTAAGCTTGCATTATCGATTCTTTGGCCTATTTTAAGCTAGGTTGTGTTCCTTTCTGACATTTCAGGTCCTAGCACATAAAGTGAAGCATAGGCGCAAGTTTCAAGTCAATCGGAGATCAATTGGCAACTCGGGGAACGAAACTCGGGCATGACATGAAGAAGAATGGATTTCTACCTCACTTTGTGACCATAGAATCATGTAAGCTTGTCATGAGAAGAAAGAGGACGAGACTACGAGCGTCTGGGATCAAATGGCACCTGATTTGGAGTCCGAACGAGGGAGAAACGAAGAATCAAAGATAGGGCACCCGAAACTGCAAAATACCCTACCGGGTATTTTGACCATCTGATAGGGTATTTTTGGCAGCATCAGAAGGCCCCCCGGTCAAGACCCAAAAATACCTGACCGGGTATTTTTGCTTTTGCCCAGAAAAGTGACCCAGAGCATTTTGTTGATACCCAACCGGTTTCTTGAATACACGACCGGGTATTTGGACCGGGTTTCGCAAACGCAGGCTGTTAAAAGCCTTGTTTTGTGCGTTTTTGGAGTGGGAGAGCGGGGTTTTGGTTCTCAAACACCCAAGGGACGAACCAAAGATCGATAGAGAGGGTGATTTGAGGGCAATCTTGGAGGATTTCTTCGCCTTGTAAGCTCGAGGAACAAGCCCAGACATTAAGATTGAAGATCTGAAAAGTTATACTGCATTCTCTCTCTTCTCTATGAAGTAAATTCCCTTCACTTAGGTTTTAAGGAACCCTAGATTTGTATGCTAGGAAGAGTTGTATGAACTCGAATTCATAATTGATTGAAATTCTATATTCAGTTGAGGTTTTTATTCAGAATTGCTTGAGTCCTGATCAAATTCTCGTGATTCCTGCTTTGACCTAGAATGATAGCCTTTGCATAGGTTGAAAGAGCATCCTGAATTGGAAGTGGTGAATCGACGACTTTAGTCGAGAAGTCGATTCACTACTCTGTACTGGAGTTAAAATCCAGTAGAGGAAGTTTTGTGTGATAGTGCCTCAGTTAGCTTTCGTCGGTGGAGGTTAGTCACCCGCCGGGTGTTCGAACTGAGAGGGTACGGAACACTTTAGTCGAGACTCCAGACTGTTTGAGAACTTTCCGCGGTGTAGATGTCAGTTGAATTGAATTTGGTGAATTACAATTTGGCCTAACTGCAATCTAGGGGGAATCATACCCAACTGAGTTCCCAACTTCTAATTGGATTAATTTTTAACTGTACGTAGTTTGTTAGAGTAGTTTTAGTTCTTCCATCTTAATCTGGTTTGCTAGATAATGAACTGAAGCTGAGTAATCGTAACTCTAAAGACCCGTGGATTCGATATTTATTACTTGAGTCACTATATTGCAGTCTCTTTCATTGGTTACACTTGGCCATTGTTAGGAGTTGTGTCATAGCGAGTCACGGACCCAAAATGGATTACTCCACCAGTCTATCGACGCTAGTTTCTTTCCATTCTTTTGATTCAGACAATATTTACATACTTATTGAGTCGTCATTTTGATTGCCTAAGTTGAGTGGAAACTGGGATTGGGGAAATTCTCTTGTCTTGCAAAAGTACTACAGAAGTTGGAGGAAACTCGGATGGACACGCAATACAAATTGAATTGTCGGTTGATTCATCTAGTGTTGACCATGCCCGTTTCAACGACTACCATAGAGAGCACATTTTCAGCAATGAAACATGTAAAACGGATTTGTGCAACAAAATGAACGATTAATTTTTTGTTGATTGCTTAGCTATTTTCTTTAAGAGAGAATATGATATTGGTATGAATGAAGAACCTATTATTGATGAATTTATTATATTAAAAATTCTTCTTGTACAATTGACATTGTAATGAATACTATAATTATTATATATTTTTGTTTACGGTAACTGATATTACATTCAAATGCGAGTTAGTGCTTTACTATGTCCTAATTTGTCACTGGGTGATCATCCATGTGATTCTCGTTTATATGCTCATGGTCACCACTCACCTGTTCCATTATTATTATTATTAATCTCAAACTCCTTCAAATAAATTTAGTAATGAAATTGGATAATTTGAAATTAAATTACTCTGCCAGCTACCTAATTTTCATTTATAGGAATTATTTAAATACTCCACGTGCATTGCATGGGTATATAAATTCATATAGTCGCTTCTGGACAGCTAGCTATCTGTGATTATTATGATTATTCCTTATTCACTATGTATAATAACCAAACTTTATACGTACACTCAAGTAGTCACGTTTCCCTTAGGGAGCAGCGCCATCCAGCCAGCCAGCGCATCCATCCCCATATCCCATCTCCTAAACAGTCTCTTAAACAATACTTTAGGAATTATCTCGACGTATGTAGAACGCCGTTCAATATTTTATGATGGAAAATGATTAAAGCAAAACCATAATGCCTCGCTAGTACCGAATAGCGATTCATATATATGAAGATCAGCATGCGTCCTCTTTCATATACCGTTGCGATAGAGAGAAGGAAAGAAAGGAACAAGTAAGCAGATACTAAAGAGAGGGAAAGAAACGAGGGGAAAAAAAAAAAGAATAAGGGCGATGGCGATAGTTGCCGGACTTCCACAGTATGTGGTGCTCCGATCAAGGAGGGACGGGGATTACATGCACTATCTGTGGAACGAGGAGTTCGGCGAGATGCAAAGGTGCATGGGGGCTAAGCGGGAGGTGGATCCGGTGAGCCCGTTCGTGAAGCTGGAGGTGGTCCCTTCCGCCATCAACCCTTCATCCTACGTCCACCTCCGCTGCTCCTACAACAACAAATTCTTGCAGCTTAAGCATATGACGTGGTATTGGGTGGCTGCCATCGCCGACGCCCCGAACGAGAACATCTCCGATGCAGTCAACTGCACCCTCTTCCAGCCCTTCTTCCCCTCCGACCAGCCGCCAAACACCGTGGGGTTTAACTACGTCCCCAACCAGAAGCGTGTCTACCTTGCCAACGAGAGTGCCGGCAACCCGGACATGTTCCGAGTGGCACTGGTGTACGGCCCCGAGGAAGCATGGACTAGTTATTTCGAGTTTGCGCCTTGGGAGTCGTACGAGGACAAGATGAGGGCCAAAGACGACGTGATCCAGGCCCGAGAGGCCGATATCGCCAGGCTGGCGGCCCAGGTGGCTGCCAAGGACAAGGAGATCTACAACCTCGGGGCCCAGGTGGCTGCAAAGGACGGGGAGATTCGGGGCCTGCAAGAGGTGGTTCGTGCTCGGGACCAGGAGATCGCGAGTCTGGATGCTCAGGTCGCCGCCAAAGACGAGGAGATTCGCGATTTCCAAGGCCAGCTGGCTGAGAAGGAGGAAGAGATCCTAAACCTCCGAGGCCAGGTGGCGTCCTGGGAGGCGTACGAGGAGGAGATGAAGGCGAAGCTGGAGGCCGAGATGCTGACACTGCAGTCTGGGGTGGGTCTGGCTTGGGACTCCTTCGACGGGAACGTCACGGCCGGGATTGGCCCGAAATCGATCATCGGCCTAAAGATTAATTAATGCTGATATTATGTGTAATAATAAATTGAGCGATCAATTAATTGACGAGCTACATGTCACGTCAGATCGATCACCGTCCTTGTGTATGCTTTTAAGGACAGTACGTAACGTCTGTAGTACTGATCTCTTCCTAATTTGAGTTTATTTCCTCTCTCGTGTCATCCTCTTTATGTTAGATGTTGATCCGATCAAGTAAGCCGTGTGTTAATTGTTTAGCATTTTCAATAAGAATACTTTTCGGGGGCAACGGATCCAATTTTCCGATCTTGATGATAAGATCTTATGATTACAAATATACATACAATACAATACAATACATAGAGTCGAATAATTAAGGAAGAATTCCCAGAATACAGTAAAAATTAAACATAATTCCCGGAATACATATGTTTTATAAAATTTTCCCAAACTACCCAAGTTTCAAAGGGTTCGAGTCCCATAAACTCGAACTACTCACCAGTTCGACGATGGAGAACTCGAACTAAAATAGGATCGAGTTTTAAAAACTCGATCAACATTAGTTCGATTTTGGAGAACTCGAACAACGTAGATCGATGACAAAGGATTCGATCTTAATAGATCGAGTATAGACAACTCGATCCCGTTAGATCGACGCCTAAAACCTCGATGTAGTGCAACGACTTTAATGCATTCGATCATTATCTGCACTAGATCGATGCGCTATGACTCGAACTACCAAAATCGATTCCAATGGGCTCGAACCACTGGCCCACCGACATGCTTCAGGATAGGGTTGCAGGGATAAGATTCTTTGTTGTCATAGATCGAGTTTTAGGGACTCGAACTAGTGTAGTTCGATTACACTAAACTCGAACTACTGCTCAATCATTCTGTCCAGTCGCTTTCGGTCTGACATGCTCCAGAATAGGGTGCAGGGGGGAAATTATTGGTTGACATAGATCGAGTTTAATGAACTCGAACTAGTGTAGTTCGAGTGTTTTGGACTCGAACCACACCAACAATTTACGAGGATAAAAAACCATCACTTAGCACATTCTGGCAGCTCTCTTCCTTTCTATCTTCTTTCTTCCAAACACAAACTGCAGCTGCTGGAGCACCATAGCTGAGCAAAGAAGAAAATTTTTGGAGGTAAGTTCTGCTTACTTTGTTTGAATGAGCATATTAGAATTTTGGATTAATTTAGTATTGTTTGTACTGTATGTAATGAGCTGCTTGTATAAACTGCAGAAATGGGTAGAAAATTTCGAAAATTCGACTTAAAGATTCGGTGGAATGGTCGAATTACACATTTTCATGATAGTATTGACTACGAAGATGGTGAATCAAGTATTGTCCGGATTGAGAGCATATTTGCTTGGCAAGAACTCAGTCATATTTGTGCGGAACGATGCTGCATAGGAGGGCGAAGAGTATGCAAGATGACTTACCGTATGTCGGTTTACAAGGATTATGCACTTGTATATGAAGGATCAGTTTTGTCTGACGATGATGACATTAATATGATGGTGAGATTTATTGCAGAGAACAGATTTCCAACTGCTGAGGTGTATGTCGAGACAGAGGTTTTTGGCCAATATGGTGGCGGCGGTTATACCGAACACGGTGAAGGATCGGGAGGGTTTTCCGGTTCAGGAGATTTCAGAGTCCGGCATGATGCACCATGGCCAACATACGAGGATCGAACTACAATTGGTCCATTGGTGGAACATGACGGACAGGAGTGGCCAGTATGGGGTGAAGAATGGGATTACATAAGGGCACCCAGACAGTCACCCAGACAAGCATCTACACCAGCATCTGGCAACAACAATGATCCATATGTGGATAAACCAAGTCCTCCGTACACTAGCGAGGCAAGCGACATGGAAGATGAAGAGTTAGAATCAATGAGTAGTTCAGATGGTGAAGATCTGGAAGTTGATGAGGGGGAATTTGAGCCCCCCACACCTCACTACACGATGGTGCCACAACATCCTCTCTATGCTCACAACGACGATCCTGACCTCCCTCCTATACCAATCTGGACTCCTGACTCTGGATTCGTGGTTGGCCAAACATTTGGAGGAAAGCCTCAGGTGGTCGATGCATTGAAAGAAACTGCTATGCGAAGAAGCTTTCAATATCGTGTCATCACTTCTGTCACTAAACAAATTCATGTTCGTTGCGAGAACCATGGCGACGGATGCATGTGGCATGTTCGGGCGGCATGTGTTAAAAGAAATGGGGCTTGGCTCATTCGTAAGAAAGACAACAACCACACTTGTAGGTCGTCACTGATTTCTCTAGATCACCGACAATTGAGTGCAAGGAAGGTTGCACAAACAATCAAACATCAGATTGAGGCACAACCTGGGATCACCGTGAAGAGTGTCATCGCTGAAGTGAAGAATCGACATGGATATACCATCAGTTACAAGAAAGCATGGCATGGGAAGCAAAAAGCTATGGCAGAGGTGTATGGTGATTGGGAAGAGTCATTTGCTAACATGCCTCGTTTGATTCTTGCAATGGAGGACAAGAATCATGGGTCTGTTTTTGTGCCTAGTTACGAATATTTCTATGGGGGGGCTAAACGCGTGTTTAAGCGACTATTTTGGGCATTCAAACCATGCATTGATGGTTTCACCCATTGTCTGCCAGTAATCCAAGTTGATGGCACCTTTCTGACCGGCAAATACAAGGGCACTCTACTCGTTGCCACTAGTGTTGATGGCAGTATGCAACTTTTCCCTTTGTTTTTGCTATAGTTGAATCGGAGAACAACTTAAGTTGGGCATGGTTTTTTTCCCAACTATACACTCGTGTCACTCAACGGAAGGACATTGCCATACTTTCTGATCGACACCATGGAATTGCACATGCTTTCTACGACCTGCCCGAGGAGCTAGGGTGGAAGTGGCGCTGGTGCATACGACATTTCAAAAGCAATTACGGGAAGCACTTTAGTAGAACTTATGCACAACGTGCAGTTTGGCACGCTGGTAAGAACAAATAAGATGTTGTGATTATATCAATTGGTTGAATGCGTATACTCCTTTACTAACCTTATTTTGCTTTATTGTAGCTATTGCTTTTCAGACTCGAAAGTTTGTAGACAAAATGAAGAGCATAAGGGAGGTCCAGTCTGAAGGTGCAGATTGGCTAGAAACTCATCCTTTTGAGAGGTGGACGTTACATCAAGACGAAGGGTATAGGTATGGAATAACAACAACGAACATGGGTGAGTGCCTCAATGGTTTGTATGTTGGTCTTCGTGCAATGCCTATCTCATCTATAGTCTTGCATACCTTCTTTCGTACGGTGACATGGTTCGTTGAACGCTACCAAGCAGCATATCATATGCTGAATGCTGGAATCTACATCCCAAAGAATTGCAAATGAAATGGATAGATCAAGAACACAGCGACGCCGCCCGAAGAAGTGCTCTGCATGTCGAGTTGAAGTGCATGATAGGCGCCAGTGTCCAGGGCCATCGACTGATAATTGAAACTTTATGTTGTAATTTGAAATTTATGTTGTGATTTAAGAACTTTATGTTGTAATTTGAATTTTATGTTGTGATTTAAGAACTTTATGTTGTAATTTGAATTTTATGTTGTGATTTAAGAACTTTATGTTGTAATATGAATTTTATGTTGTGAAATAGAACAACTTAACAACTCTAGAGAAATAGAACAAATTAACAACGTCATTAGAAATAGAACACCTTAACAACGTCATTAGAAATAGAACAACTTAACAACTCTAAAAAAATAGAACAACTAAACAACGACATTATAAATAGAACAACTTAACAACTCTAGAGAAATAGAACAAATTAACAACGTCATTAGAAATAGAACACCTTAACAACTCTAAAAAAAAATAGAACAACTTAACAACTCTAAAGAACACCTCACTCTTGTGCACCACGTCCGCGTCCCTCCCTTCGACGTCTATTCCTTGAACGAACTCCATATCCAATTCCAGTATTTCGTGGCAATGGAGGTGGGGGTTGCAGTGGCTGGAGGACCATAATAAACATTTGTCATCGTAGTCTGGAAGCTTTGATGCGGGGTTTGAAATTGATGACCATACGATGAATAGTAGGCTCCTCCTCCCCCTCCTTGAGCAGAACCTGATGATCCCTCTCTGAATTCCCTTCTGGCGGGAGGGAATCCATACTCGTATCGGTCAGGAAGTGCCACATCTTCTCGTACGTGCACAGGGACTGTAACCGGCTCTTGCCGACGTTTACTCCTCCTTGGTGGTGATGGCGGGAGAGATTCAACTTCAATGGCGTGGGAGGAAGGACGTGGCGGTGCAGGAGCAGGAGGATATGCAATGACATCCCTTCGGATTTCCCGCGAACATGACAAGAGATTCTTGAAGAGCTTCTTCAAGAATGAAATTTTCTCAGCTGGCACATCTCCTTCTGGTTCATTCTCCAACGTCATTGATGCAAGTGCTAACCCATCAACCTAAATAATAAACATGTTAGTCAAACACTATTTGTGTAGCTAAAGTGATTATAGTAAATAGATATTGTGCTTACCAATGAACTGATCACGGAGCCACCTTTGGTTACCCATCTTTTTGTGAACTTGCGGTACCAAACCATGTATTCATCTTGGTACCCCATTGGCCTCGTCATTGGGATCCCATCAATTGCATACGTCTGACGAGACTCCCACATTTCGATCCATCTATGGTGCTTGGTTGGCCAATCACTTATTGTACCCCGCAGATCCTTGCTGTACTTGTGGAGTGACTTATGTACGTCCGGTGGTGGGAGAGGAATCGGTTGCGCCCAATTATATTTTCGAACACATCTATCCAGGAGGTGTCACTCGACAATGTTGTGGCAAATCACATGCAACTTGCACGACCAGAGTCGGTGATCCTCAGGGTATCGCAACTCGTACAAATCCTTTGCTCCGTTCGGATACATATCCCACTCCACCTAAGTTTCAACACAACATAAAAATTAAAATCGAAGCAAATAATTTCAACAATTTCACATAGGATTCATAATCATAAAAATAAATAATGGGCTAAGAAATATAATTTCAACAAATAAAATAGAATTCGTAATCATAAAAATAAATCATAGGCTAAGTCTAAGACAAATAATTTCAACAAATAAATTAGCATTCATAATCATAAAAATTAATCATGGGCTAAGAAAAATAATTTCAACAAATAAAATAGGATTCATAATCATAAAAATAAATCATGGGCTAAGACAAATAATTTCAACAAATAAATTAGCATTCATAATCATAAGCTAGAATGTTACCTCGTTGAATTCTATATGGTTAAGATGTTGGCGGTACCCGTCTAGAGAGGTGAGTCTCGTGATAGCTCCAATCCATCTAGCACCATAAGCCCATTGCCGTAGTGGCTCATCGGGACCCCAACTGTTGGCAGGACAGATCGGAGCGAAAGTGGGAAGGTGCTCCCAAACCCATAGTTGGAGGATGAACATGGGACCACCCGCTTGCTTTGTTTTCGGATCCTACACTTGCACAACTCCGAATATATCATCGCCAAACAAGCAGATCCCCAACTTTTTCTCCCAATCTCGTCCCAATCTTCCAAAAGAACTCGAAGCCACATACAATGCATATTTCCACCAGACTTGTTCGGAAACAAAAATCCTCCAACCAAACAAATCAGGTAGATGCGAGCATACCTCTCTATCTGAGCATCCGTGGCATCCTCCGGTAATTCCCCAACGGTCCTCACTAGCCAAGGTATCAATAGCATAGACTTGTGTAGAGGTGGTACACGAAGACCTTCTTGTGCTTCCTCTGGGATGTTGATACCTAAACGCTCGCTTATAAATTGGCCCCAACCATTCAATGGTTTCTGTGAACTTTCTATTATTGCATCACCATCGATTGGAAGCTCTGTCAACATGGCTACGTCCTTCAACGTAATCATCATCTCTCCCTCTAGAAGGTGGAATGTGTGTGTTTCTTTTCTCCATCTTTCCACCATTGTCGTAAGAAGGTTGTTGTCCATCTCCATCCCCACAAACTTTCGCACCCTCAGCAATCACGCTCTTTCAATGAAGGGCTCGATACGGTCATCCCATTTAGGCAAGCGAGATAGCGACCGATGGGTGATTACGTCAAGTTGTTCCTGTAGAAAAAAAACATTAATTATTATACAAAAAATTAGAAGAATACTATCACATTTAAAAAAAGAAAAGTACATGAGGAAGTGCCTACCGGATCTGCCGCCCAAACATTTTCAGACCAATGGTAAGGTTGCTCATCCAACAAATCGGTTTCTCGCGGTCCGCCTTGAATGTATAATCTAGGATCGTAAATACTCGGATCCATCTCGACAATTTTGAGTGATAGAAGTACCAAACTAAAGAAAAAAAATCTGATGCGGAAGATCGGGCTTAGCCGCAACCACAGAGCATATTTTTTTCTTCAAGAGTGGTGGGAGGAAGAGAGGAAGAAGAATGGAGTGGTGTGAGTTTTGGTGGAATGGGAGGGGGTATTTATAGGTTCTGTGGGAGAGTGGATCGAGTTTACAAAAATCAAACTAGTGCTTCGATTTTCGGGCGCTCGGTCAGCGTCAAAAGCAGTTCATGGTTAATCGCATCGAACGACCCAGATCGAGGTTAGGGTAATCGATCAATGGTAGTTCGAGCCTGACATCAGCGATCCGCATCAAATTGATCGATTAAAGGGGACTCGATCCACTACATCGAGTTTCACCCACTCGATCCGCGTCATCCCTTCTTTGCAGATTTGGCAATCAAACGGCCTAGATCGAGTTTCGACCACTCGATCAAAGGTAGAGCGTGCCTGACGTCATCGATCCGCGTCAATCAGATCAATTAAAGCCGACTCGATCCACTTACCCCGAGTTTACCACACTCGATCCGGGTCATCATTGCTTCGCTGGTTGAGCAATCGAACGGCCTTGATCGCTTCCTGGTACATCGATCTAGGGTGGAGCGCTAAGTCATCGATCCAGGTCTTGCAGTTCGAGTTTCCCATCCTCGATGCACGTGGATCGATTTTTTGGCAGTCGATCTGGTACTAGTTCGAGTTTGGTGAACTCGAACTATGTCAAACTTTGGTAGTTTGGGAATATTTTTAAAAAGTTATGTGTTCTGAGAATTATTTTTAATTATTACTGTATTTAGGGAATTAATCCAATAATTAATTGAGGCAAATGTCTTGGCGACGAAGATTGTGATCATAGATTCATTCTAGCTTTTTTATCGCTGAAGGCACAACTCTAAATATCTTTCTTCACGATACAATGTCTCGGCGAGAAATTTCTTTGGATTAGAATTATTGTTTTAGAGAAGATTACAATATCTTACTCTCATAAGAACCCCAACACCAATAACAAAAATATCTAATTTCTCTGATAGTAGACACCATAACTTATTATTGGTCTTAGTATGCGCAACGTAACCATGTATTTAATTAGAGTGTTGATAGTAGACACTATAGATCGATGATCAACAGTTCGGTATGACATCTATGGTCAACTATATCCAGCGGTTTCATCATTATAACAATGGTGCTCAGCCTGTCCAATATCCCATGCATCGACAAATTAATACAAGGAAAGGAAGAATAATTAGTTTGGTCAACAAATGATGATCCCTCCGTTGTTGTTAAACATGTACCGAATGGATTTTATATGGAAAAAAAACCCAAATCTCGATATGGCCTCCTGCATGTGACTCTCGTTCATATGCTCGCATGGTCACCTCTGGCTAGCGGTTCAAATAAAATTTAGTAATGAAACTTTAAATAATTTGAGTTTAAAATTAATCCGCCAGATAGCTAGTTATTGTTTTCATTGATTACGATAAGTTATTTAAATACACCACGAGCATTGCATTGCATTGCATGTGTATATATATATATATATATATATATATATATTCATATATATATACAGTCGCTTCTGGCCAGCTAGCTAGCTGTTCCCATCATTCACCATAATAACCAATACTTTAGGAATTATCTCGACGACGTACGCAGAACGCCGCAATATTATATGATGGAAAATCATTTCAGAAAAATAAAAACACGATATAACTAGCTATCGACCTAGTGGGTCGGTTGGTTGTATTCGATTGGTTATATATACGAAGCACTGCATGCATCCCCTTATTTCATATACACCTGCCAAACTTCCCAGAGAGAGATCTATAGCTAGCTGGTAAGAAACAATTATGGCGACGGAATTGCCCAAGTATGTCATGTTCCGAACGCAATATCAGTTCAGACACTACCTTCACTACCTATGGAACGAGGAGGAGTTCGGCGTCAACTACAAAGGCATGGGTTCCGTCCGAGCCGTGGATCCGGTGAGCCCATTCGTGAAGCTGGAGGTGGTCCCTTCCGCCGCCAACCCGGGCAGAATCCACCTCCTCTGCTCCTACAACAACAAGTACCTGGAAGTGGTCCGCTACAGGGACACCGACCAGACGTACTACCTCTCTGCCACGGCGGACGTGGCGGTTGACGAAATGGCCGGGCCCACGTCCACGCTGTTCACCCCTGCCTTCTCAAGTAACAGTGAAGGCGGCACCGTGGCCCTCACTCACAGCAGCACCGACCGCCGCGTGCAGATCTCCTTGCCCTCCAGCGTCGCGGTGGCAGTCTCCATCGGTACTCGCGAATTCTTCAACTACTACGCTTGGGAGTCTCACCAGGAGAAGATAAAGGCCAAGGAGGCCGAGATCCAGAACCTGCGGCGCCAGCTGGCCGACAATGACGAGGAGATAGGGAACCTGAGGGGACAGGTGGCGGCGTGGGAGCTGTACGAGGAGCAGCGGAGGGCGAAACTGGAGGAGGAGAAGCTGGCTCTGCGATCCACCGTGGCTTCCACTTGGGAGGCCTTCCAGTTCAGCGTGAGGGAAGGCAACCCTCCCGGGGCGGCCGGGAGTAGTACCCTTCAGGCCTGACTGAAACTATATATCCAGTCAAACAGCTGGGCTGCCAGCTCATCGTATGATCCCATCAGAGCATTTGGATGGATGATTTCATCCAGCTTAATTTTTTGCTTTATTTGATCTTCTCGTGCATGCAAGTTGTACTGAACAATAATTAAAAGCTATCACATTAAAGTTTGCTGGATTCGTGTAGTAAGATGTTTATGTACGTACGTCGGTAGTTTCAGCGTCTTGATTCAGTTCAGCGGCGGATCCAGAACACAGAAGAGCACTGGGCCTCATTTCATTAGAAAATTAGAACCGTAAAAAAACATAATGATTATAGTTTTTTGCAATGTAAATTGTACACGACTGTATTTTAATTTAGGGAATGCATCAATAATGAAGTCTACGTCCATACCAATAGTATACATTGTTTCAAATAAAACACTTGAGCAATCGGCGAGAAATTCATCGCTCATTTTGTTGAGAAAATCAGTTCTCACATGTTTCATTGCTAAAAAGGTTCTCTTCATAGTAGCTGTTGAAACGAGCAGCATCAACACTAGATAAATCAATCGACTAATCAATTTGCATTGTGTGTCCATCCCTGCACACCAGCTACCTTAGTAAATTTGTAAGGGAACAAATCTCATATTTCTTTTAGTCTTTTACGTTTTAAACTTTTTAGAATTTTAGGTTTCATTGTTTTTTTAAGACGCATGATCTTTGGGGCTAAAATTTCTAGGCTAAATTTAGAATAGTGATTTGAATATGTTCAATTTGATAATTTTTTTAGTTAAACCCAATCTTATCATAGAATAACACTGGGTCGAATGTCTAAAATCAAAAATTTCATAAGGACTATAGTAACTACGAATCCAGATGAGGGCTGGGCCGGGGCCTGGGTGGCCACCCCCTGGATCCGCCAGTGATTCAGTTTAGTGGCTCGGTCGGTGTTTGGTGAGCATTATCCTGTAATTTCACTTATAAATAAACTTTTCAGATTATTTCCCGCTCAACTCTCGTCCATATCGGGCTCCCTAGTACGTGATCAGTTGCACATGTACTGTGTCGAGAAGAACAACATGCGGCTTCTGTGAGAGGTGGCTGCCAAGGACGAGGAGATACAAAATCTCAGGGGCCAGGTGGCTGCAAAGGACGGGGATATTCGGGGCCTGCAAGAGGTGGTATTAAGGAAAATAAAAAAATAAATGTATTTTACTTTTTTATTTCTCCATCTATTCTTTCTCCCCACCTTTTCCATTATCATTCTGTTCCTAGCTTCAAGGAACGTGGGGAACCTTTCTGTTGCTTCTGTATGTATATTTAACTGAGGAAATCATCTAATAACAATTAAGTTAGATTCTCCCAACAACGTCTATAGCAAAACCTCCTTCATAGTATCGGAGCTGGTTACGGTCATCTAGCTCGGATCTGATTTTTTTTCTTTCTCTTCTCTCGAGTGATACCCTGCACTCTCTCTTCTCTTCCTCTGTTTTCCATGTCAGGCTCATGAGGCTCAAACAGCACATCACTTGTTGATGATGCCATTATTACCTTTAATCCAGCTGCTCAGCTGCCATTGAAGCTGACTTCAATTAATTTTCACTCCTGGAAATCTCAGCTGGAGACACTTCTTATGGGATTGGATCTTATCAGTTTTATTGATGGAACCGGTGTGGCTCCTGCTCAAACAGTCACAGCAGAAAATACCACCGCTCCCAATCCTGCTTATCGGCGCTGGTATCGTCAAGACAAACTCATTTTACATGCTCTTTGATGCTCTATTTCTGAATCGTTATACTCCTATGTCTCTGCGGCTGTTACCTCTCGCGAAGCTTGGCTGATTCTGGAGAGACTGTATGCTAGCCGCTCTCAATCTCGTATTATAAATCTGAAAGGAAAGCTGGCTTCCACCACCAAAGGAGATCAGGATGTCGTTACATATGTTAATGATCTCAAACTAATTGCTGCGGAACTTGCCCTTATTGATGAACCTGTGAAAGATCTGGATCTGGTTGTTCATTGTCTTTGTGGTCTTGGACCGGAATACAATCAGTTTGCTGCTGCCGTTCGAGCTCGAGGATCATCCATAGCCATTGAAGATCTTCTCGATTCTTTGGTTGAATTCGAAGCTGATTTAAAAGTACATGTGCGCACCTCCGGCGTTCCCACGGCGTTTTATTCCCATGGACTTCCTCGTCGGGGCAGCGGTGGTGGCTCTGGAGATCGCAGCGATGATGATCTCCTTCCTGGCGGCGGCAGCTCCTTTCGTGCGTCTTATGGTGGTCGCCAGCAGCAGTTGGGCTTTCCCCCCAATCGCCAGCAGCATTTGGGCCTATCCTCCAGCCCTCGCAGCCCACACTTCACTTCTGAGCCCACACGCTCACGCCGGCCCACTATCACTTGCCAATACTGTGAGCGTCCAGGCCATTCAGTCAGGCAATGCTTCAAATTATTCCCACAAGCCCGTCAGGCCCATAATCAGAATCGCTCAGCCCAGGCCAATTTTACTCACACAGGCCCGTCTAGTGGCACTTCTTCTGGTCCATGGTTAATGGATTCAGCAGCAAGTCATCATGTGACTTCAGATTTGGGCCATCTCTCACTTTATTCAGACTATACAGGCCCCGATGAAATTCTTGTGGGTGATGGTTCGGGTTTGGCTATTTCTCATATTGGCTCATCCTCAATTTCCAATGGTTCTAATACCTTATTTTTGAACGATATATTATGTGTTCCCACTATCAAGAAACACTTAATTTCGGTTGCTAAGTTATGTCAAACTAATCCAGTATCGGTGGAATTTTTTGCCTCTCATTTTATTGTGAAGGATCCTCGCACGGGGGCGCAGCTTCTGAAGGGGGAAAACAACGGTGATGTGTATGAGTTACCACGAGAGGTGCAAAATGTTCGCATGGCGCTTGTAACGACTCGGACATCAGCAACTTCGTGGCATGCCCGTCTCGGTCATCCATCTCATCAGTCCTTAGCTAGTCTTATTCGGTCATTTTCTCTCCCTGTCTCGTCTTCCATTACCAATTCTCCTTGTGATGCTTGTCTCTCAAATAAAAGCCACAAACTCCCTTTCTCAGTCTCTTCATTATCCAGCGATCGACTGTTTGATCTTTTGTATACTGATGTTTGGGGCCCTGCTCCAGTTTCTTCCATTGATGGCTATCGTTATTACTTGATTATTATTGATCATTTCACTCGGTATACTTGGTATTATCCATTATGCAATAAATCTGATGTTCTTAACACTTTTCTCTCTTTTCGTAAGATGGTTGAGAATTATTTTTCCACCACTATTCGTCGTTTGTACACGGATGGTGGAGGGGAATTTCAAAAATTACGTTCTGATCTTATTGCTAATGGAATTACTCATCTTCTCACCCCGCCTCATACTCCTGAACACAATGGCATTGCTGAAAGAAAACATAGACATTTGGTTGAAACTGGTATCACTCTTCTCCATCACGCTAACCTTCTGATGACTCGATATTTGCACATGTTTTCCCCTTTGTTTCTTGATTGTTTGAGCTTTAATTATTGCGTCTTTGGCCTATTTTATTCTAGGTTGTGTTCCTTTGTCACATTTCAGGTCCTAGCACATAAAGTGAAGCATAGGCGCAAGTTTCAAGTCAATCAGAGATCAATTGGCGATTAGGGAGAAGAAACTCGGGCATGACCTGAAGAAGAATGAATTTCTACCTTACTTTATGGACAAAGAATCATGAAAGCTTGTCATGAAAAGAAAGAGGACGAGACTACGAGCGTCTGGGATCAAACGGCGACTGATTCGGAGTCCGGACGGGGAGAAACGAAGCATTGAATATAGGGAAACAGGTTCAGTAGTAAAAACACGGGCGCGCCTAAGTCAAAACACGGCCGTGCCCATATTTAGGCACGACCGTGTTTTGGCCGACGCGCGCGAGCGTGTTTTTAACTCGGGGCAAAACACGGGCGGTCAAAAGCAAAGCACGGCCGTTCCCTCGACCGTGTTTTGCCCAGAATCAGGTTTTTTAACGCAAATTCGAGCCAAAGGAGAGGGAGAGCTGGGTTTTGGATCCCAAACACCCAAGGGACGAACCAAAGAGAGAAAGGGCGATCTAAGGGCATTCTAAGAGTGGAATTGGAGGATTTCTTTGCCTTGGAAGCTCGAGGAACAAGCCCGGACTTGAAGACTGATCATCTGAAGATTCTTACTGCAGTATCTCTCTTCTCTATGGAGTAACTTCCCTTCACTTAGGTTTTGAGGAACCCTAGCTATGTTTGTTTGATTGGATGATTGTATGAGTACTCTGACTTGATAATCTTGAGTTCATATTCAATCTATGCATGTTTTCATGATTCAATTCTGCTTTAGTCGAGATTATTGATTCTGCTTTGATCCTATGAGAGGGAATACCTGATTAGGTCAATAGAGCACCATAGATTGATAGTAGTGGATCGATTGCTTTAGTCGAGGGTTGATTCACTGCTTTGTATCGATTGAGAACCTCATTCGATAGAGGGAATCTAGTTCAGGACGCCTTGATCGGTTGTTCTAGAGAAGGATACGTCCCTCTAGGCAATTGACTCAAGAGGGCCTTGTTCCTTTAGTCGAGACTCAAAGTCTAGTCAAGGATTCTCCGCATTGTGAATGAAAGTGAAACAAGTTAGAAATCATCAATCGTTAGTCTGGCTAGTGGCTAGGGGGAATCATACCTAAGTGAGTTCCCAACCTGTAATTAGATTAACTTTAATTGTAGTTTGCTAGAGTAGTTTTAGTTCTTTCATCTTAATCTGGTTTGCTAAATAATAAACTGAAGCTGAGTAATAGTAACTCTAGAGACCCGTGGATTCGATATTTATCACTTGAGCCACTATACTGCATCCCTTCCATTGGTTACACTTGGCCATTGTTAGGTGTTGTGTCGTAGCGAGTCACCTTCCCACCTCTTTTTGGTCTTTTTCCTTTTCCACTGCCATATATCTTATCATTCGTCTCCCTTCCTCGGCCTTGCGTGGTAAAATTTCCTACACTCTTCTCTTCAATCTGCCGCCTTCCTACCATAAGCTGCGTATTTTTGGGTGTCTTTGTTATCCATGGCTTCATCCCTACTCTACTCATAAGCTTGATCCTCGTTCTCGCCCGTGTTTATTCCTTGGTTATTGTCCGCAGCGCAGTGCTTATCGTTGTTTTGATCCCACCACTCATCGCATTTTTCTATCTCGTCATGTCATCTTTGTTGAGTCATCTTTTCCAGGGTACTGTGCCACGCCTCTTGGTGATTTGTCAACGTCCGAGTCTTGGCTCTATGATATGTCACCTAACATCACTACCATCTCTACACATCAACCGGCGCTTCCTTCCCCCTCGGCGGCAGCTCCTATGCGAGATTCCTCCACTGGGCCATCTTCATCGGGCTCTTCTGTTGGGCCTTCCACTAGTGACCATTTGTCCACTGGCTCCTCTGTTGGGCCTTCTTCCAGTGGGCCTCCTTCTACACCCTCTGCTTGTCCACTACTGGCGCCTACTGACCCGCCACCCCTCCTCTGCTCCCATCCGATGCAGACACAGGCCCAGAGGGGAATTTTTAGGCCCAAGCAGCGTTTGTTTGTCACTCAGCTCTCCCCTGGGCCTCCGCCGCTAGAGCCTCTCACAGTGAGTGAGGCACGGAAATACAAGGAGTGGGATGCGGCCCTCACTGCTGAAAATTCAGCTTTGTTGGCTAATGACCCATGGGAGCTTGTTCCACGACTTCCGCATTATAATGTTCTTGGTAATCGGTGGGTTTTTCGGGTCAAGCATCATTCTGATGGGTCTATTGAGCGTTTCAAAACGCGCTTGGTTGCTAAAGGTTTTCATCAACGACCTGGTCTTGATTTCACTGATACATTCACTCTGGTGGTTAAGCCTGTCACTGTTCGTACTATTTTTACCTTGGCTCTCACTCATGGCTGGTCCATTGCTCAGTTTGATGTGAATAATGCCTTTCTTCAAGGACCCTTGGAGGATGAGGTCTACATGGTTCAACCTCCTGGGTTTGTTGATCCTTCTCGACCACATCATGTTTGTCGTCTTAAGAAGGCAATTTATGGGCTTCGTCAGGCACCACGGGCTTGGTACACTACACTGTGCTCCTTCCTCCAGGACTTTGGCTTTCAGAAGACTCATTTTGATGCCTCTCTGTTTGTCTACTCTCGTGGGCGCACACTTCTCTATTTTTTGGTCTATGTTAATGATTTGCTTCTCACGGGCAACGATCCTGCTGTGCTTATCTCTTTTCAGCAGGCTCTTTCTCATCGATTCTCTCTTAAGGCTCTTGGTGATGTCAACTATTTCCTGGGCATTGAGATTATTCCTACCGCGACTGGTTTTCTGTTGTCTCAACATAAGTATATGGTTGACATTCTTCATCGGTTTCTTATGATGGATGCCAAGTCCATTGACACACCTATGGCTGCCTCCGCCACTCTAACTCTTGATGATGGCACTACTCCGGCTGATGCCACCAGGTTTCTCCAGGCAGTGTGTGCACTTCAGTACCTTGTCTACACTCGTCCTGACATTGCTTTCTATGTGAACAAGCTTTCTCAGTATATGCATGCTCCGACTGCTCATCACTGGCAATGTGTCAAACATCTTCTTCGCTATATCTCTGGTACTCTCACCTTTGGCCTCTCCATTCGGCGCTCTACTACTCCCTTGACATTGACAGCTTTTGCATATTCGGATTGGGCAGGCAATCCGGATGACCGCTCCTCCACTACTGGTTATCTTGTCTATCTAGGGGCTACTCTTATCTCCTGGCGGTCACAGTAGCAGCGTACTGTTGCTCGTTCCAGCACTGAGGCAGAATATCGTGTTATTGCTCATACTGCGGCTGAGCTAGAGTGGATCCAGAATTTACTTCAGGAGCTCCGGGTCCCCATGGCTTCATCGCCCACGCTTTATTCAGAGAACCTTGGTGCCACCTATTTCAGCTCCAACCCGGTCTTTCATTCCCGGATGAAACATTTGGCCTTGGATTATCACTTCGCCCGTCAGCTGGTGCAGGCGGGTCGTCTCCGTGTTTCATATATTCCCACTGCTCATCAACTTGCCGACGCTCTTACAAAACCGCTCTTCGCCTCTCGATTTCTTCTTCTCCGATCCAAGATTGGAGTCGTTGATACCTCCTCCATCTTGCGGGGGCGTATTAAGGAAAATAAAAAATAAATGTATTTTACTTTTTTATTTCTCCATCTATTCTTTCTCCCCACCTTTTCCATTATCATTCTGTTCCTGGCTTCAAGGAACGTGGGGAACCTTTCTGTTGCTTCTGTATGTATATTAAACTGAGGAAATCATCTAATAACAATTAAGTTAGATTCTCCCAACAACGTCTATAGCAAAACCTCCTTCAGGTGGTTCGTGCTCGGGACCAGGAGATCGCGAGTCTGGATGCTCAGGTCGCCGCCAAAGCCGAGGAGATTCGCGATTTCCAAGGCCAGTTGGCTAAGAAGAATAATGAGATCCTGAACATCCGAGGCCAGGTGGCATCCTGGGAGGCGTACGAGGAGGAGATGAAGGCCAAGCTGGAGGCCGAGATGCTGACCCTGCACTCAGAGGTGGCTTCTGTCAAGAACCAGTTGATCCCAATAACTCGAGTTGTTGGGAGAAGGGTCTGTTGGATCGTATAACACATTCTAACACGCCCCCTCAAACGAAAGCCAACCCATGGTCTTGAAGTTTGCACAGGCCCACCATACCATGTGCTTGAAAGACAACGGTTAATATTGGGGGTCGTGGAGATTCGAACACTTAACCTTTTGGTTCGAGGCTCTGATACCATGTCAAGAACCAGTTGATCCCAATAACTCGAGTTGTTGGGAGAAGGTTCTGTTGGATCTTATAACACATTCTAACAGCTTCGGCTTGGGACTCCTTCGACGGGAACGTGACCGCAGGGATTGCCCCGGAATCGATCGTCAGCCTAAAGATTAATAACTAACTAATGCTCATCTCCTACGTAACAATAATAAATTGATAAGCTATACGTCACGTCAGATCGATCACCACTCATACTATGCACGCTTTAAGGACAGTACGTATGTAGTACTGATCTCTTTCTAATTTGGTTTAATTCCTCTATATATCATGTCATTTATCTTTGTGTGTATGTTGATCTGATGGGTTAAATGAGCATCGATTGTCACTGAAGTATAGCATATGTTGCACGTTTGTCAACTAACTTAATACAACTAAACCATGTATGTCAAATTTTGGTTGCACCGTCATCATTTTTGTTCTCACAGACCTTAAGGTATGGTCTCAAATGATAATTATCGGTGCCACATAGACATTCCACGTTAACACAACTGCTGAGTCATCTTTCGCTCTACTCTTGCCTCGCCCTCCTTTTCCTAGCTTCAATTTCTTCTTTTGCCCTCTTTCCACTGGTGGCAGCAATGACGACAACAACAACAATAGAAAGACAGTGGCTATGCCTTCGACCTTTGGAAGGAAATCGAGGACACTGGCGCTTGGTTTGTTAACGGATTGACAGTAACGGAAATAAAAGAAGAAGGCAATCGATTTACGTGTGATGAACCCTCTATTTCACCAACTATCATCTCATAAACTTGAGTTAAAAGGATACCAATAATACTACCTCAATTACCTCCGCCTGACTACATGAAAATGATGGTATTAGCAAGTTTACCACTTCATTTTCATGTGTATGTAAAGTTGGTTTAGCAATTACCACCCACCGATCCCATTTACATGGTCTTATTTTGCCATGTCATTGTGTGGTTTCATAAGCAACCAATTTGGAAACAAATAATCCCCCTAAATGACACCTCATGGCCACGTGGTCATATGTGAGAAAAAGATGTTTGGGGTTAACTCCTCATTATCCCTACCACAAATGAATACATTTGTCAATTTGTGAGTCCATCCACCACTCACCCCAAATGGTCAACTATCCTTTACATGGGAGATGAAGATGTCTTTCTTTACCACCATCCACTCTACTCTACGCGTGTACATGAGATGAGAGGGCACAATGTAGGTAAGTTTGCGTTACTTTATTTCTTTTAACACTTGCACATAATCAGATTGGTAGAGATTATTTATCTTTCTTTACCCGACCATCCATTGTACCTAAGATTGGTTGGGAGTAAATATATTTTTATTCTTTATACGCCACCCACGCTAGAAGCAGAAGACGCTTATAAATAGGACGCTCATTTATACTTTCTCGATAGTTCATCTCGATTTGAACTTTTAAATCTCTCTCTAGAGCCGGCTCAATACGCCGCTCCCGGTTACTCTCCTCTCAATACTGACTTGAGCTTCGGAGCAGGTCCCCGCCGAACACCGGTCGGCGGGTCCCTCTTTTGCAGGTGTCCATCTCGGAGGTTGGCCAGGAGGACAACGCTCACCGGACCTCAAACACATTGAAGCAGGCTCCTCGGAGCTTGGAATCAACAATTGGCGTCCACCGTGGGGCCCGGTGAGATTAATACCAATAAATTGTCGATCCTGCAAGACGAGGTGGGCACACAGGATCTGCAACCCGAAACCGGGATTCGTCAAGATGCAACTCTAAACCTCATTCGAGTTGCTATCTCCAAGAATCGAGGATCCCAACGAGTTGGAAATGTAGGATTTGCAACCCGAAGAAGGGATTTGTCAAGATGCAACTCCAAACATCAATAAAGTTGCTATCTTCAAGAATCGAGGATCCCAATAGATGGAAATGTAGGATCTGCAACCCGATGAAGGGATTAGTCAAGATGCAACTCTAAACATCAAAAAAATTTCTATCTCGAAGAATCGAGGATCTCCCGACCAAGATTGATTTGTGTCAATCTTTGGTCTGGAACAACGGGCCCTCAACCCCACTAGTTCTTCCGTCGATTTGACGCGAAATCATAGGATCCTCGAGTCCTCCCATGGAATGGCGCCCTGACATCAATAATTGGCACCTATATTGAGCCTTGATGAAAAGTTCCATCAACAATTTGCACTTGCTATGGAGCCTGATGAAAATTTTTACAAATTATCATTGTCAACGTCAAATCCTCTAGGAGAGATGGTGGAGAAACATGATGACGTGCAATTCACAACGAGGTCGAGGGGGCACCGGTTTTGGTCTGCCTCTTGTAATACTTACGTTTTAGCGGAGAAGCCCATGTAGTCTACTTTTTAAGTAGGCATCTCCATCAATGAGGTCAAGGGTTCAATTCCCTGCGAATTGCTATTGTTAAAAAAAGATCAACTTTTTCACCCACACCACTCTGCCGCTCATCTCTTCTGAATCCTGACGGGACAACTTGTGTATCATCATCACCAAATTGGCATGGGAACCTCTTCCCTTCTCATGCTCCAATCGAGAAAATCCAAATATGAGAAAGTTTTTGTTAAACTCAAAATCTATTTGGTAACCCCTCCTCAACTCTCATTTCAAGTTGCTATGCAAATTTTCTTATCATATTGCATCATATCGCCAAAGTATAGTCCTTCTCCCCGAGACACGTACAAAATTAAGCACATAACATAACCCTGCAACGATTGGGATGGGTCTCAGTCCTTCATAGCAAGCCGAGCTATACAATACCGTGTTAGGAGTTAGGACCCACTGTACTAGTTTTCTGTCATTACTTTAGATTTTAGTTTTTGTTACTTTAATTAATAGCATGATATCGATCGACATTATCATTAAAAAAAAAATAAATCGCCCCACGCTGAGCCTCGTGGTTAATAAATAAAGCCTAGCTAGCGCGATTAGTTTATGCCGTCGGTTTTGAATTATTCGTTAACCATGTTTATTAGATGGTTTATGTCGCAAAAGGTTATTAATCATCTGCTACGGAAGTTTCTTGGACATCTCGCGATTCATGCACATTCGGTTTCTATATATATTCATAACTTTAATCAATTACCTGCAAGTAAGTATCCAATCTATTCATATGATTACAACAATGGACGATTCACTAATCATCATCCTCACTCTTTGCCTTCTCGTACCAATATCATTCCTCGTCCTTGTAAACAAACGGCCCTCCAACAAGTCACCAGCTGACGACGGAGTGCGGCCTCCAGGGCCGACGAAACTGCCCATCATCGGCAACCTGGACCAGCTGGCGGCGGGCTCGTCTCTCCCGCACCGCCGCCTGGCAGAGCTGGCGAAGAAACACGGGCCGGTGATGCAGCTTCAGCTTGGTGAAATCTCCACCGTCGTCCTGTCGTCGGCGGAATGGGCCCAACAGGTCATGCGAACCCACGATCTAAACTTCGCCACCAGGCCGTCATTGCCTGCCGCCGACATCATACTGTACGGTGGCCGGGACATCGCGTTTGCTCCCCATGGCGAGTACTGGAGGACGATGAGGAAGGTTTGTGCTATGGAGCTGCTGGGCCCCAGGCGTGTCGAGCTGCTCCAACCCATGATGAAACGAGAGATGGGCGAACTGATGGCGTCGATCGCCTCTTCGACCCACGGCGACATTGGTGATCACCAAGGTACGTATGATCGAGCCATGCTTTCTTGCATCCATGTGAAACAAATCTTGTTCACGTGAAATAGCTAGCGATCCTGACTTCCTACGTACGTACCTGTGTCATAAATTAGTTGGTACAGATCACTTGAGTTGTTTGAGAAGGTCTATATATGATACATAATTATAGGGGTGAGCACGTGGGTATTAATCAGCGAATTGACATCGATCCATCTGCAAATAGCGCGAACTGCAGGCATTGGGTGGATTGAAAAAATTTCCTACTCGCATTTATGTGAGTGGGTGCTGGATGAATTTCTGGTTGACCCGCACAAT